GCCCATCTGGTATTATAACCTGAAAATCCACGGTTCAGAACATCACATTTTCTGAAATGAAAAATTTAAAAAAGATGAATTGTGGGAAAAAAGTGTTTATGGTCCCAGTAACCAACCTTTAGTGAGGTGTGCTCTCTGGGATTCTCAGCCCGTCATGTGTCTGAGGCCCCCCCAGGTTTCACTTTGAAAGAAACAAGTACATAGTTGAAGCATGCTAATCTTCCTTAAGCCAAAGAGACAGGTAAATACGCCATACTCCTCTGAGAAATCATAAGTAATTACATATAAAGGGGCTGTGATTAAGTCTGCAGACTACCTGACTTCAGGCATGGTATAGTGGGGTGCTTTTAAAATGGAGTCCACAACAGACAATTATTAATCTGAGCAAGTATAAAGTATCTCAGGTATAAAGTTACCAATATGCTGGAACTTAAGTAGTTTAGTTTCAGAAATGAAATTATTTAAATAGACTAGAAACAGTGGCTCATGCCTATAATCCCAGCACTTTGGGAGGCCGAGGTGGGTGGATCACGAGATCAGGAGTTCAAGACCAGCCTGATGAACATGGTGAAACCTCATCTCTACTAAAAATACAAAAATTAGCTGGACGTGGTGGCAGCGCCTGTAATCCCAGCCACTCGGGAGGCTGAGGCAGAGAATCACTTGAACCCGGGAGGCAGAGGTTGCAGTGAGCTGAGATCATGCCACTGCATTCCAGCCTGGGTGACAGAGAAAGACCGTCTCAAAAACAAAAACAAAACAAAACAACAACAACAAAAACCTACCTATTTAAATAGTCTATGGAATGTTTGAGATTTCTAGTTTTGATTAGTTTTAATAAATATATTAGTTGGTTTCAACTTAAACCAGTTCATAGGCTTGTTTCCTTCTTAAAAATAGTTGGATTCACAGTGTTGTAGGTGAGATGAAAAAAGAAAGGCCAAGTTGCCTGGATTTGTTTCCCAGCTCCATCTGTGACTAGGTGTGACCCTGGACATGCCACTCCTTCCTCACATGTAAAGTGAGGAGAATCCCAGTCCAGGATTGCATCAGGCAGATTTAAAACCCCTCAGATGGTACCAGTCACATAAGAGGGACTCTTTTTTTCTTAGTCTTGGTAAAACAATATGATCTGGGATTTGCTTTAGAATAATCCATAGTAGGAGGCATGGATGGGCTCATTTCACTCTTTGATTCTGTAGATGTTTAAAGTTGTCCATAAAAGTTTCTTAAAATGAATCCTGGTGGTTCAATTTATGATTAGTAAATCAGTATAGTTCATTTTGGTGTATGGTTCAAATTCCTACAGATGTGTAAGTAAGCAGAGAAGCTGAGGCACCGGTGGAGAAGCGCAGGCCACGTCAGGCAGTGTGCTCCAAAGCAGCACAAGGGGACGCTGTTGATGACACTACTCAGAGTTCTCAGGCAGCGTTTAAAAAGTGGGGAACAGGTGAAACTCAGCCTTATTTCTAAGTAAGATTGAGTGTTTTTGTGTGTAATGATTACAAAATGCTGACAAGCCTTTTTACAGAGTGAAATTACAATACTTTAAAATGAATTGCTGGGCTGGGTGTGGTGGTGCATGCCTGTAGGTCTCAGCTGCTCAGGAGGCTGAGGTGGGATGATGGCTTGAGCCCCGGAAGTCGAGGCTGCAGTGAGCCCTGATCACACTGCTGCACTCCAGCCTAGGTGAGAGACCCTATCTCAAAAACCACAAATAACCCAAACAAAGTGTCGGTGGAATTGTGACCAGGCGAGTCTGTCTTAGTCACGGCAGCACTCCCCAAAAAAGACGAAGTAGCGTCCTGCCAGTGTGGTGTAGCAGTAAAACTGCAAGTTCTGCGATCACAGCGGCTGGGACTTGCACCTGTGTGCCCTTGACTAGCAAAGAGGCATTGGCCGTCTACTTAATTCGAGTCTACCCAGCCCTCAGAGCTCAACCCTAAAATAACTAAGTGGTCAGATGGAGTGAAGATTAAATGTTTTCTGTTCCTTCTCCTATATACTAGGAAAGGCAAGCAAAATTAACAAAGGAGAAATGTTCTGTTCAGAACTACCCTTCACTCTCTCTTCCCAAGATAACGACATCTTCCCTCCATCCATAAGTCCTCAAGTATCGGAAACCATTCTCACCTGACCAGCTTGTCAGCCAGCGATGCTCCCCATCCACCCTGCTGGAAGGAAAACTGGAGAAAGAAAAGCCCATTATTACTACAAATGACTGACCGATCATTTCAGCAAGGGCAGTTCTGATCCGCAATGCCTTTGTTTTCTCTGCCCTCCCTTCTTGGCTTTTGTGCCTCGATTCACTCTGGGGAGGTCATTCTGGGGATTACAGGTAAGTACACCTGGCAGCACTTTAGCAGAGAGGGATTTTTCTCTATCAGTTGAAAGCTAAACAGCCTGTAATCCCAGCACTTGGGGAGGCCGAGGCGGATGGATCACCTGAGGTCAGGAGTTCGACACCAGCCTGGCCAACGTGGCGAAACCCCGTCTCTACTAAAAATACAAAAATTAGCCCGGTGTGGTGGCGCCCGTCTATAATCCCAGCTACTTAGGAGGCTGAGGCAGAAGAAACGCTTGAACCCGGAAGGCGGAGGTGGCAGTGAGCCGAGACCTCCACACTGCACTCCAGCCTGGGCGATAGAGACTCCGTCTCCAAGAAAAAAAAAAAAAAAAAAGCTAAACAGAAATCCAAGTTCAGGAGATAAAGTCAACTGCAAGTCCAATGAGGAAATGAAGTCCATGCTGCTCCCTGGTTACTGAGCGGAGGGCGAACATTTCTCACACACATTCCCGTGCAATTCGGGGAGCCCTGACTGCCCCACATGCCTAAAAATAATGTTGCCAGTTACTGGCATATACACAAAAACCCGGTGAAGCAAGTCCTGAGAAGACACACGCACAGGAATGGACTCTGCACTCCCTCCCTGAAGAACCTGCCTTTAGAAGACCGTTCCCTGCACGGGAGGTGAGATCTTGGATGAATAGATGGTCCTTTTCGACCTAATTCTTGAAGGCATTTTACTTCGAACGTCGACCTCTGACGGCCCCACCTGTGCCCGCGGGGAGGGCGGCGAGCGGCTCACAGCGCCTCCGCCTGCAGCCGGCCGCGGGAACTGCTGGGACGCCACGCGCGGGCGCCCGGAGCGGCTCGCCGGGACCCGGATGGGAACCGCCGCCGCCCAGGACGGCGCAGAGGGGACGACCGCACATCTCGACCCAGGTGGGAGGCGGCGCGGGGCGAGCAACGCGGCCAGGTCCCCGCGCGTCTGTGCCGGCAGCGCGGGCTCTCGCAGGGACCGTCATGGCCTCCGGGATGCCGGAGGCGTGCAAGGCGCAGCCACTGGGGGACCCGCCGCCCCTCCAGGGTTGCCGCGGGCGGGGCCGGGCTTCGGTCCCAGCCGTTTCCTGGGCCGCAGAGGACGGCGAGGAGCCCCGGCCGGCTGGGCAGCAACCCCGCAGGGAGGCCGGAGCGAGAGGCCGAGCGTCCGCGTGGCGGTACCTGGGTGATGGAGTCCCCGAGGAGCAGCACCCGAGGCCAGAGCAGGGCGCTTCCGCAGCCCGCGGCCTCGCACAGCGCCATGGAACCGCAGGCCGGGGCGGGGCCGCCAGCCCGGCGAGGCGCCTGCGCAGTGGCCGCCCCTGGGTTGCGGGAGCCTGGCTGGTCGGGCACCTAGGCGGGCGCGACGCCCGTGGCTCCTTGGCGTCTGCCAGAAGCTCGGCCTCCGCGATCGTTCACCCACGGCGAGACTGCCCCCAGGGAGCCCGCAGCCCGCGCCCCGCCGCGTGGGTCCCAGAAGGAAATCCGTTCGGGGGGCCGCCCTAAGCCCACCCTGCGCTGGGCGGCCGCAGGTGGGTTCGGCAAAGGGCAGGAGTGTGACCGCAGGACGTGCGGCGGGCAGCGCTGCTGGCCCTCGGTGGGGCATGGGGCTGTTCCCATGGTGCCCCGGATGCTCCGGTACCCCTGGAAGAGGTCGTGGGGTGCGCGCGCGGCCTCCTGCGCCGGGCGTCACTCTGGAGGGCACGTAACACGCAGGACGCAGGCGCTGCGGAAACCCGGGCCTTGTCTCGTGGTTCTGCTAATGACGACGGAAAGCAGCTGCACGTTCCCAGCGCCCAGCCAGCGGCTTCTTTTCCCTGCCGTTGGGTGGATGCGCGGACACGGAGCACGACTTATTTTCAAGGGATTCATCTGTTGAATAAAACGTGGTTGCAATGCAACGTTCTTACCTCAGCTGTGCAATGAAGTGCAGCGGCCGAGCTGAAAACGAGTGGGAAGGATGCCTTGAAACCACAGAGCTGTAGATGACTAATAGAAGGGCCTGGGGAGCCGGCGCAGAGGCGGATCCTGCTCCTTGGGGCGGGCGATGGGCGAAGAGCATGACCTAACAGCTTGGATCACCTGGGCGATCTTTACAAACAAGATCCAACCAAGGGCCCTCACTCCAGCCCAATTAACTCACCTCCTGGTAGCAGGACTTGGACACAGGTGCACTTGTAATGCATCCCACGTGATTCCCACGGGCCGCCCAGATTGAGAGCCCCTGGTAGAGCAAGCAAGGGTGGCTGCACTTCACCCTTACCACAACGCCTTCATTAAGGCCTTCAAGCAGCAGAGGCTTGAAGCCAGGTCTGTTCCAGGAATCACCTGTAGGGGAGAAGATGGAGGTTGCTGCCGGAATTCAGAGGGGAAGAGTATACTGGGACTTGAACAGCAGCAGAGGAGATCAAGACAAACATTTCAAGTGCAACTTAGCATCCTTATGAACTCAAATTGGTTACCCCAGGGAGAGGGGTAGCCAGTAGCGGTTGCTATCAGCAGATCTGGATGGTTTCAGGGAGAGCTGCACATATGCCTGGAAGAAGAATCTATAAATTCAGAAATAATGGGTAGTTTATTTAGTAGTTAGTTCTAGAATAATGGACAAATTTGTTGGCAGTTTAGCAGTATTCAGGCTGTTGGAATAAAAGTCATTTGGCATCAAAAGTAAACAGGCTCCCTCAGAGAAACTAATGCATTTTATTTTAAGTAACAGAATCAAGTATGTTTTTTAAAGTTTTCACATATACAGTCATAGGTTCTCAGTGAACTGGTGTCAGGGCCTCATATAGTCTCTGTGCAGCGAGTTCCACCATTTCTCGGAGGGATTCATCATCTTCACTTCCTTCTTCGCATTCTACAGTCTGAAAATGAAGGCATAAATAAGACTTAATTATTAGAATTGTCTATAATGATTATATGGAAGATAAATGCTTCTTAAAAAACAATCATTTCATAAAAAATTAGCCAGGTGTGGTGGCATGTGCCTGTGGTCCCAGATACTCAAGGGAGGATCACTGAGCTCGAGAGGTTGAGGCTGCAGCAAGCTGATTGCACCATTGCACTCCAGCCTGGGCGGCACAGCGAGACCCAGTCTCAAAAAAAGAACAATCATCTGTGTGGGCAGAGGTCATGGTGGAACTGATTATCCTGAAACAGAACAGCTGCCCTACACACTTGTGGGTGTGCAGCTGGGGGCAGTGCTTCCTGACAGCATGGTGATGGGCCGAATTAGTGATGATCTGAGGCAGAGGGGGAAAGACTGGGGAAAAGTCTAGTAAACTACATTTACATTAAAGCCCACATTTTGATCCAGTAAATGATACTCCAGGGAAGTTCGTCTGTGCCACACAAATTACTTGGCAAGGAGTGGATGTGGCCATCTACTCAACATTTGGTATTAAATTTGAGTTAAACTCACCAATAATCTTCTAGTTACTTTTTTTTTTTTTTTTTTTTTGAGACGGAGTCTTACCCCGTTGCCCAGACTGGAGTGCAATGTCGCCATCTTGGCTCACTGCAACCTCCGCCTCTCAAGTTCAAGGAATTCTCCTGCTTCAGCCTCCTAAACAGCTGGGATTATAGGCGTGTGCCACCACACCCGGCTATTTTTTGCATTTTTAGTAGAAATGTGGTTTCACAATGTTGGCCAGGCTGTGGTTTCAAAATGTTGGCTTGTGACCTCCTGATCCGCCCTCTTCGGCCTCCCAAAGTGCTGGGGTTACAGGCAGGAGCCACCTCGCCCAGCCGTTACTTCATTTTTTTTTTTTTTGAGACACAGTTTCGCTCTTGTTACCCAGGCTGGAGTGCAATGGCACTATCTCGGCTCACTGCAACCTCCGCCTCCTGGGTTCAGGCAATTCTTCTGCCTCAGCCTCCCAAGTAGCTGGGACTACAGGCACGCACCACCATGCCCAGCTAATTTTTTGTATTTTTAGTAGAGACAGGGTTTCACCATGCTGACCAGGATGGTCTCGATCTCGACCTCGTGATCCACCCGCCTAGGCCTCCCAAATGCTGGGATTACAGCTGTGAGCCACCGCGCCTGGCCATTACTTCATTTTTATTAGACAGCAGTGATGTGATCTCAGCTCAATGTGACTTCTGTCTCCTGGGTTCTCCTGCCTCAGCCTCCTGAGTAGCTGGGACTACATGCGTACCACCACACCCAGCTAATTTTTGCATTTTTAGTAGAAATGGGTTTTCACCATGTTGGCTAGGCTGGTCCCAAACTCTTGACCTCAGATGATCTGCCCACCTTGGCCTCCAAAAGTGTTGACATTACAGGCATAACCCACTGCACCTGGCCTCTACTTTTTTTTTTTTTTTTTTTTTTTGAGACGGAGTCTTGCTGTTGACAGGGCTGGGTGCAATAGCACAATCTTGGCCCACTGCAAACTCTGCCTCCTGGGTTCAAGCAGTTCTCCTGCCTCAGTCTCCTGAGTAGCTGAGATTATAGAGGTGCACCACCACATCCAGCTCATTTTTCTGTATTTTTAGTAGAGACGGATTTACTACATTGGCCAAGCTTGTCTCGAACTCCTGACCTTGTGATCCGCTTACCTTGGCCTCCCAAAGGGCTGGGATTACAGGCATGAGCCACCATGCCCGGCCTGTAGTTACTTCTTAAAGCTTAATTATAAAACACTATATATGTTTAAAAAATGTTTTTATCATACCATAAACATTCCCCATTAAAAACTTAGGAAAGAGGAAAACACCACCTCTGACCTAATGATAACTATGGTTACCATTTCAATGTAGTAACTGTCTAGACTTTATATATATATATCTATATTAACAAAAATGGGATAATTTCTCATATGTGCCACCTTGTACTTTTTTTTTCACTCAACAGTATACAGTGGACAACTCTGCACATTAATAAACCTGCATCTTTTTTTGGGTACAAATGTCTGGGGTATGTGTGCAGTTTTGTTACACGCACAGAGAGCCCAATGGACTAGTCAGGGCTTCTAGGGCACCAATCACCTGGAGAGCAGATGCTGTACCCATCATCCCCCACCCCGCTCACTCTTCCGAGTTTCCACTGGTATCATTCCACTCTCTATGGCCATGTGTGTACTTTTTTTAGTATAAATGAGAAGATGGGATACCTGATTTTCTGTGCCTGGCTTATTTCACTAAAGATCTCCATTTCCATCCGTGTTGCTGCAAAAGACCTAATTTCATTCTTCATGGCTGAATAGTTCTCCATTGTGTACATATGCCACATTTTCCTTATCCATTCTTCTTCTGATGGACACTTAGGTTAAGGCCATATATTTGCTGTTGTGAATTGTGATGCAATTAACATAGGAGTGCAGGTGTTTTTTTTCCCCCAGATGGAGTTTTGCTCTTGTTGCCAGGCTGGAGTGCAATGGTGCCATCTCGGCTCACTGCAACCTCTTCCTCCCGGGTTCGAGGGATTCTCCTGCCTCAGTCTCCCGAGTAGCAGGGATTACAGACAGCTGCCATCATGCCTGACTAACTTTTTTTGTATTTTTGTAGAGATGGTGTTTCACCATGTTGGGCAGGCTGGCCTCGAACTCCCGACCTCAGGTGATCTGCCCACCTCAGCCTCACAAAGTGCTGGGATTGCAGGTGTGAGCCACTGTGCATGGCCACAGGTATCTTTTTGATATATTATTTATCCTTTGGATAGGTATCCAGTAGTGGGACTGCTGTGTCAAACGGCAGTTTATTTTTGTTTTTTTGAGAAATCTCCAAACTGTTTTCCATAGAGGTTGTAGGAATTCACAATCCCAGCAGCAGTGTGTAAGGCTCCCTTTCCCTGCCTGTCAACATGTTATTTTTTGTTTCTTTAATAGCCACTTCGGGGTAAGAAGGCATCTCTTTGGTTTTCATTTGTATTTCTCTGATCATTAGTGATGTTGAACATTTCTTCATATACATTTTGGCCATTTGTATGTCTTCATTTTTTTTTTTTTTTTTTTTTGAGACAGGGTCTTACTCTGTTGCCCCAGCCAGAGTGCAGTGGTGCAATCTCGGCTCACTGCAGCCTCAACCTACTGAGCTCAACCTCCTAAGCCTCCCAAGTAGCTGGGATTACAGGCACATGCTACCGTGACTCTTTTTTTTTTTTTTTTTTTGGAGAGTTGAAGTCTTACTATGTTGCCGGGCTGGTCTTGAACTCCTGGGCTCAAGTGAGCCTTCTGCCTCAGCCTCCTAAAGTGTTGGGACTACATACATGAGTCATCATGCCCAGCTTGTATGTCTTCTTTTGAAAAATGTTTATTTGCTGGGTGCAGTGGCACGTGCCTGTAGTCCCAGCTACTTGGGAGGCTGAAGTGGGGGGATCGCTTGAGCCCAGGAGTTCTGGGCTGTACAGTGCGCTACGCCAATCGGGTGTCAGCTCTAAGTTTGGCATCAATATGGTGGCCTCCCGGCAGCGGGGGACCACCAGATTGCCTAAGGAGGGGTGAACCAGCCCAGGTCGGAAACGGAGCAGGTCAAAACTCCCATGCTGATCAGTAGTGGGATCACGCCTGTGAATAGTCACTGCACTCCAGCCTGGGCAACACAGTGAGAATCTGTCTCAAAAAAAAAAAAGAGAAAAAGAAAAATGTTTATTCATGGCCTTTGCCCACTTTTTAAAATTTTCTAGACGGAGTCTTGCTCTGTCACCCAGTCTGGAGTGCAGTGGTGTGATCTCGGCTCACTGCAACCTGTCTCTTGGGTTCAAGAAATTCTCTTGCCTCAGCCTCCCGAGAAGCCAGGAATACAGGTGTGCACCACCATGCCGGCTAATTTTTGTCTTTTTAGTAGAGACAGGGTTTCACCATGTTGGCCAGGTTGGTCTTGAACTCCTGACTTCAGGTGATCCAGCCGCCTTGGCCTCCCAAAGTAATGGAATTACAGGCATGAGCCTCCATGCCAGGCCCTTTGCCTACTTCTTAATGGGATTATTTGTGGTTTTGTTGTTGCTGTTGAGTTCCTTATATATTCTGAATATTAGTCCCCTGTAAGATGCACATTTTGTAAACATTTTGTCCCATTAAATGGGTGTCTTGTCCCTGTGTTGATTCTTTTTTTTTTTTTTTTTTTTGAGATGGTGTTTCACTCTTTTCCCTAAGGCTGTAGTGCAATGGTGTAATCTCAGCTCGCTGCAACCTCTGCCTCCTGGATTCAAGTGATTCTCCTGCCTCAGCTTCCTGTGTAGCTGGGACTACAGGCACATGCCACCACGCCCGGCTAATTTTTTTGTATTTTTAGTAGAGACGGGGTTTCTCCATGTTGGTCAGGCTGGTTTCAAACTCCAGACCTCAGGTGATCCATCCGCCTCGGCCTTCCAGAATGCTGGGATTACAGGTGTGAGCCACTGTGTGCTTGGCCTGTGTTGATTACTTCTTTTGCTGTGCAGAAACTTTCAAGTCTCATTTGTCTCTTTTTGTTGCCTGTGCTTTTGAGGTCTTTGCCTAGACCAGTGTCCCAAAGAATTTTCCTTTGGTTTTCTTCTAGTACTTTTATAGTTTTTTGTTTTATGTTTAAGACTTTAATCCATCTTGAGATGATTTTTGTATACAGGGATCCAGTTTCATCTACATAAGGCAGTCCAATTTTCTAGCCCCACTGAATTGAAGAGAGTTATCAGCTTTGTCAAAGGTCAGCTGGCTACACGTATTTGGCTTTATTTCTGTGTTCTCTATTCCGTTCCACTGATGTGTGTGTGTTTATACCAGTTCCATGCTGTTTGGTTACTCTTGCTTTGTAAGTATAGTTTGCAGTCAGGTAATGTGATGCCTCTAGCTTTGCTCTTATTGCTCAGGACTGCTGTGGCTATCCTTTTTTTTTTTTTTTTTGGCTCTTTTTGATTCCATATAAATTTTAGGATTGTTTTTTCTAATTGTATAAAAAAGGACATTGTTATTTTGACTGCACTGAATCTGTAGATTGCTTTGTGCAATATGGTTATCTTAATTTTCCTGAGTCATGAGCATGGGATACTTTTCTGTTTGCATGTGGCATCCATAATTTCTTTCATCCATGGTTTTTAGTTTTCTTTGTAGAGATTGTTCACCTCCTGGGTTACATTTATTCCTGGGTTTGGTTTTTGCTTTCTTGTAGTGACTGTAAGTGGGACTGCCTTCTTGATTTCTCAGCTGGGTTGTCATTGGTGTGTTGAAATGCTACTTTTTGTAAATTGATTTTTTAATCATTACTGGATTTATTAATCGAATATAAGAGTTTTGGGCCAGGCGCGGTGGCTCACGCCTGTAATCCCAGCACTTTGGGAGGCCGAGGCGGGTGGATCACGAGGTCAACAGATCGAGACCATCCTGGTCAACGTGGTGAAACCCCATCTCTACTAAAAATACAAAAAATTAGCTGGGCATGGTGGCGCGTGCCTGTAATCCAAGCTACTCAGGAGGCTGAGGCAGGAGAATTGCCTGAACCCAGGAGGCGGAGGTTGCGGTGAGCCGAGATCGCGCCATTGCATTCCAGCCTGAGTAAGGAGTAAAACTCCGTTTCAAAAAAAAAAAAAAAAAAAGTTTTGGGGTGGTGTCTTTAGGTTTTTCTAGATATAAGATCTTATTATCAGCAAACAAGAATGATGTGCCCTCCTCCTTTCTAGTTTGGATGCCTTTTCTTTCTCTTGCCTGACAGTACCATCATTCTTGGTAACTAAATATATATATTATTCCGAGTATAAGGATATACCATGTACATTCAGTTATTTTATCTCTTACTCTTGGATATTTACATTTCTTGCCATTTTTTTAAATGCTAAAATAGACATCCTTTTATATAAACTTTGCTCACTTGTCTGACTGTTATCTTTGGTTAAATTCAGTAAATGGAATTGTAGATAAAAGGCCTTTTTTTTTTTTTTCCTCCAGAGACAGAGTCTCGCTCTGTTGCCCAGGCTGGAGTACAATGTGTGATAATAGCTCACTGAAGCCTAAACCCCTGGGCTCAAGTGATCCTCCCACCTCAGCATCCGAAATAGCTGGAATTACAGGTGTACAACCACAGGACCTACTTTTTAAAAGCTTTTGATGCACGCCACCACTCTACTTTTCAGAAACAGTGAATGTGCTGCCTAATTGATACTCTCTCTCCCCATCCCTCCTATAGCACCTGAAAGTAACTATTCCCTATTCTTTCACCATCACTGGGTCACATCACTTTCTTTAATCTGTGCCAGTATGCGAAGCGTGATATAGCACTTTAAATGTGTACTTCGTCATGGAAACCAAACGTCATATGTTCTCACTCATAAGTGGGAGCTAAGCTATGGGGATGCAAAGGCCTAAGAGTGACACAATGGACTCTGGGGACCCAAGAGGAAAGAGTGGGATGGGGTGAGCGATAAGAGACTACAAACTGGGTACAGTGTACACTGCACAGGTGATGGGTGCACCTCACAAATCACCACTAAAGAACGTATCCATGTAACCAAACACCACCTGCTCCCCAAACCCTAGGAAATAAATAAAATAGAAAAAAAAGTGTACTTCCTCTTATTATGAATGGATCTGTACATTAGTTTTATGTTTACTGGCTATCTATATTTTTTCCCCAGTGAACTACTTGTTCATGTTTCTAGCTTATTTTCCTATTAAGGTAAAATAAATCTAATTTTTTAAAGCACCTATGTAGTCAAAAAACGTATAAAAGAAAGTTACAGCATAGGCTATTTATTTGGAACTATTCTAATCTTCAAAAACAACCCTGCGAGGAAGATATCTTTGTTCATTCACCTCGTGGAATAATTCACGCAGGAGCTGCAGGTGAGACAGGAGTACGCTCCACACTCTCAAACCTTTTTTTTTTTCTTTTGAGATGGAGTTTCGCTCTTGTTGCCCAGGCTGCAGTGCAGTGGTGCAATCTGAGCTCATTGCAACCTCCGCCTCCTGGGTTCAAACAATTCTCCTGCCTCAGCATCCTAAGTAGCTGGGATTACAGGCATGCACCACCACGCCAGGCTAATTTTGTATTTTTAGTAGAGATGAGGTTTCTCCATGTTGGTCAGGCTGGTCTCAAACTCCTGACCTCACATGATCTGCCCTCTTTGGCCTCCCAAAGTGCTGGGATTACAGGCGTGAGCCACCGCATCCAGCCTCTCAAACCTTATTGTTTGGAAAATCCACTTTGATCTTGCTGGTGCAAATAGAAGAGCAGCTTCTTCAAAAAAGGGAGAGTCAATAGATACCAAACTAGAGAACGGATGAGGTGAGGCAGGTGTGTTATGGAAAAGGACAGCAACGGAGTGACAAACATGGGAACCCTACACTATGCAGCAAGCTGGAAAACACAGAAAACTTTATACATCATAATATAGAAGGAACAATGTGAAAAAAATGTTGGAAACACTGTAAGGAAATGGCAAAAAGTAGACTGTTCAGCGTGAGAGCACAGATGATTTTTGTCTTCACTTGATTTCCCAATGTCTGGAAACGTAGGAAGGACACTACATACCCGTGTCTCCAAGTTAAGGTTGGCTGTTTTCCCGTCCACTGTGACACTAAGAATAGAGTCGTCCTTTACACTTATACAGTCTTCTCCAAATATGTCCCTTAAAATAAGCAGAAATGCAGGATTAGTGAAGAAGCCTAGCTCTATATATCTGAGGAAAAAACAATACTGAAGATAGGTCGCAGTTCTAAAGCAAAGCACTTGTATTTACTTGTTTTTGAGAGGGAGTCTTGCTCTGTCTCCCAGGCTGGAGTGCAATGGTGTGATCTGGGCGGCTCACTGCCACCTCCACCTCCCACATTCAAGTGATTCTCCTGCCTCAGTCTCCTGAGTTGCTGGGATTACAGGTGCATGCCACCATGGCCAGCTAATTTTTGTATTTTTAGTAGAGTCAGGGTTTTACCATGTTGGCCAGGCTGGTCTTGAACTCTTAGCCTCAAGTGATCCACCTGCCTCAGCCTCCCAAAGTGCTGGGATTATAGGCATGAGCCACCGTGCTCGGCTTGTATTTACTCTTGAGACAAGCTTCTTATTTACCTTCATATAGCTTATTAAGTTTATAAAACAGGGAAAATACACAGCTATTATTCAAGAATGATCTATTCAGCAGGCACCATGCTAGGTGGTTTATATACATTATCTTAACCTATAATCATTTTGGTAAGGATCCCCTTTTACACGTTAAGAAAATAAGACACAGAAGTTAGGTGATTTGCTTAAAGCCTCATGGCTAGTAAACAGCTGAACTGGCATTCAAATCCAGGATCTAGGTTAAAATGGCTCACAAGCCCACTAGCTGTCCACTCCTACTTTAATTAAATTTGGTATTTATTGAGCATCTTCTATGTGGCAGGGGCTGTGCTCGGAGCTGGGATACAGAAAGCACTAAGACACTGCCTCTGTCATGGAGGAGAAGGTTTGATCATTATTGCGACATCGTCCTCACTGGTACAGAAGTGTTAGGAAACAGCAGCCCAACCAGCAGGCTGAGTGCAGGTAAGAAAGGCAGGCAGTAAACCTAAACAGCAAACGGACCTCGGTCAGCCTAGGACAGTTGAGTGCTGACAAGAGCGTATTAAGCTGGGGAAGGGGAGGTGGGAATCAGCTGCTTGCATCTTCAGGCAGTTACTGTTCATCAAATGTGTGAATAAACTCAGCTGGGACACTAACACAAAGGAAAAAGATCAAATGATCCATCAATCCATCTATCTACTATCTATCTATCTAGAGACGGAGCCTTGCCCTGTCACCAGGCTGCAGTGCAGTGTCATGATCTAGGCCAGGTGTCCCCAAACTTGTTACACAGTTCACTGTCCCTCAGACCGCTGGAGGGCGCCACATACTGTGCTCCTCTCACTGACCACCAATGAAAAAGGTGCCCCTTCCTGAAGTGCGGTGGGGGGCCGGATAAATGGCCTCAGGGGGCCGCATGCGGCCTGCGGGCTGTAGTTTGGGGACGCCTGATCTAGGCTCACTGCAACCTCCACCTCCCAGTTCAAGCAATTCTCCAGCCTCAGCTGCCTGAGTAGCTGGGATTACAGGCATGTGCTCATTTTTGTGGTTTTAGTAGAGACGGCGTTTTGCCATGTTAGCCAGGCTGGTCTCGAACTGCTGACCTCAAGTGATCTGCCCACCTCGGCGTCCTGAAGTGTTGGGATTACAGGCGTAAGCCAGCACACCCAGCCAAAAAGATTATATTTTAAATACAGAAATGTATTCAAAAGGATAGGAAAAAAAGGTTTCATTTTCATGTGATCCACCACTGTTGGCTTGTCTAAAGAAGCCAATACATTTATTCCTCTCTGATCCTAAGTATTTAAACAACTGGGAAAACAGCTGCATTTTGAAGTGTAAGGACGTGAGAACCTCACAGTCCTGGGCCGAATGGAAGCTCTGTCTCTCACGCTCGTGTTCCTAAGAGCTGAATAGTTCTGGTGTGTTTGTGGCGGTGAGGAGAGGGAGGGGTGGCAAGAAGAGTGGCATCTTTGAAGACATGTGACGACTTCTGTAAGGAAAGTCATCATTTAAAGCCTATCATCTTTTTTTTTTTTAAACCACTAATTTGCTGTTTTAAAAAAGGTTAGAGTAGAATTTTGGGGAAGGTAAGGAAAGAACAGAAATGTTAGCATAAAAGCCTTCTGAACTAGCAGAATACCTTACTTTATTAAAATATCTAATGGGGTGAGGGCTCACATCTGTAATTTCAGCATTTTGGGAGGCCAAGGTAGGAGAGTCCCTTGAGTCCAGGGATTTGAGACCAGCCTGGGCAACATAGAGAGATCCTGTTTCTACAAAAAAATTAAGTTAGCTGGGCATGGTGGTGTAAGCCTGTGACGGGTGCTGGGGTGGACTGCTTGTCTGGGAGTTGAGGTTGCAGTGAGCCAAGATCACACTATTATATTCCAGTCTCAAGACCCTATCTCCCAAAATAAAACCAAATAAAGAGGAATACTTAGTCTAAAGGTAATTCATAGCTTACAGACTAAGAAGAGTCTAGAAGAGAACCATTTTACAAAGAATTCACATTTAACAGGTGACTATAGAAAATAATTCTTGAAGATAGAGTCACATGCGGCTAAGCTTTTTGTACTTGTCCTTATGAGAATGTTTTCTTGGGAGGCCAAGGTGGGCGGATCACCAGGTCAGGAGATCAAGACCATCCTGGCTAATATGGTGAAACCTCGTCTCTAAAAAAAAAAAAGGAGAATGTTTTCACCCTTGCTGACTAGGCCGGCCCTGTGCCAGCATCCTGAGGCACTGTATTAACTGAAATATGAACAGCTGACCTAGCAGGTCACAGGTACTTGGAACTACGTGGAGTACGGAGCTGGAAGGGACGGTGCCACCCCTCTCTTTCCTGATAGAGAAGCAGGCCTCAGGGCAGCACAGGGGCCTGGTCAGAGCCACACCTCAGTCCCTGTAGGAGCCAGAGCTGAATCCTGGGCTCCTTCCAGCCCAGTGTCACTACCTCGTTGAGAAATAATGTGTGAAAAACTTACTGAAGCATGATCTCCAACCGCTTGCTATAAACATGCATTTCTAATTTTTTAGAAACCTTTTGTACTGCACCTGGGGGAAAAAAAAGCAACAGAGTTCAATTTCTAAATTCCTATTCAGAATAACTTCCAAATCAATAATCAGAACATGGTTACTGTTGAGTTAAAGTAATTAAATATGGGATCTTTAAAGTGACAAGCATGGATATGTATTATTTGCCTGCTAAGGGAAATGCATATTTTCATTATTTAATTTCATGTTCTTTTTATTTGTATTTTAAAAAATATTTTCTATTAACATCTTTTCACCCTTTCTCCAATATTTAATGTTCTTATTAAAGAACCACAAAATGACACAATACTATTTTAGTTTGATTTCCCATATTTCTCAAACTTTACATTTATGACCACAGGCAATTAAAACTCCAGGAATTCTAGGGGCATATTCAAGCTCAAAGATCTGTGAAGTCTTTTACCTAAAATGTGATATAAATTTAACATTGTATGAGATATAATTATTTTAATAAACATTAATATTTAAAATCACTTGCCCATTAAATTACTCAGCTTTCCTTCCAAAACAAAGAAATTTGTCAGTTTGGGAAGATGAGTCACCCATAATCTGGAGTTTCAGGCATGCTCTGATGCCTCATTAAACAGCTCTCAGCGCATCACCAGCAGCAAAAGAGTGCAGGGCTCACTGTCTGGTGCTTCCTCAGAAAGTTAAACAGTCAGCATTTGACCTAGTAATTCTACTCCTAGGTATAGACCCAAGAGAAATGAAAACATGGCTACACAAAAAACGAACATACAAATATCCATGGCAGTACTATTCATGAAAGCCATAAAATAGAAACCGAAATATCCATCAAGGGATGAATGATAAACAAAATGTGTAATGCACATACAATGGGAAATGATTTGGCCGTAAAAAGGAATGAAGTACCAATTTTTTTTTTTTTTTTTTTTTTGAGATGGAGTTTCGCTCTTGTTACCCAGGCTGGAGTGCAATGGCGTGATCTCGGCTCACTGCAACCTCTGCCTCCTGGGTTCAGGCAATTCTCCTGCCTCAGCCTCCTGAGTAGCTGGGATTACAGGCACGTGCCACCATGCCCAGATAATTTTTTTGTATTTTTAGTAGAGACGGGGGTTTCATCATGTTGACCAGGATGGTCTCGATCTCTTGACCTCGTGATCCACCTGCCTCAGCCTCCCAAAGTGCTGGGATTAGAGGTGTGAGCCACCGTGCCCGGCCTGAAGTACCAATTTATGTGACAACACGATAAACCTTGAACACAGCATAGTAAAGGAAGCCAGTCATCAAAGGCTACACACTGTATGATTCCATTTATCTGAAACATTGAGAACAGGCAAATCCAGGAAGACAGGAAGTAGATTAGTGCTTGCTTTGAGTTGGGGAGAACACAGAGATTGAGGCATCATAAGTAAGGGATATGGGGTGCCTTTTTGGAGTGGGGTGTGTGTGTGTGTATTTTTTGAGACAGACTCTCACTCTGTGACCCAGGCTGGAATGTAGTGGTGTGACCATGGCTCACTGCAGCCTTAACCTCTGGGCTCCGGTGATCCTCTCATTTCAGCCTCCCAGGTAGCTGGGACTACAGGCGTGCCCTACCATGTCCAGCTGATTGTGTGTGTGTGTTGTAGAGATGGGGTTTTACCATGCTGCCCAAGTTGGTCTCAAACTCCTGGGTTCAAGCAATCTGCTCCCCTGGGTCTCGCAAAGTGCTGGGATTACAGGTGTGAGCCACCATGTCTGGCCTGGTGTGATGTAAATGTTTTAAAGTTGATTGTGGTGATGGTTGTACAACTCTGAATATGCTAAAAAAATCACTGAATTCTACACTTTATATGCATAAATTGTATGATATGTGAATTATGTTAAATGCTGTTACAAAAAATAGTACAGACTTTAAAAATTCTTCAGACAAAACGCACACACCCCCCCCCACATATATGGATATTTTCATCATTTAATTTCATGTTCATATATATCTATATATATAGATATATATGTTACAAACAAAAAAGACTTCTTTTTACAAAAGGGCTATCAGAATATAACGAAGAGAAAGCAACCTTGGTGGCGTTTGATTTGGACTGAACAGACTGAGGTAAGAAGTGAAGGCCAGCTGTGCTCTTAGAACGATGATGCGCTCGCCCAAATGTGAAAATCCCAAGTTTGGATAGGAAGAAATCAGTTTGATAATTAATAAATATTCATAATCAACTTCCTCTTTTATATATATTTTTTATATATATATATGAAGTGTGTGTGTGTGTGTGTGTGTGTGTGTAATGGGGGAAAATGCCAGAAACAATCTTACGGCCTCATCTACAAACAAGAAAATATAAGACTGTCATTTCTTTCTTTTTTTTTTTTCCTTAGAAAGAGTGTCTCACTATGTCATCCAGGCTGGAGTGCAGTGGTGCAATCACAGCTCACCGCAACCTTGAACTCCTGGGCTCAAGTGATCCTCTCATCTCAGTCTCTCAAGAAGCTAGGCCTACAGGCGTGTGCTACCATGCCTGGCTAAGACTCTGTCATTTCAAAGAGACTTCAAGAATTATGATTTCTTCAATGAACTTTCAATTTCTCAGCCCAAGTTGTAACTTTCTCACGTAATATGATGACTTTTTTAAATACTGTATAATCTAAGCGTAGCTTTATTAACTCACTTCTGTACTCCCGCATACCTATTTAAATCTACTCCATGGAAAAGAGTCAAATTGTCATTTCTCCTAAACTATTCCGTAATTCAAACCATAGTTCATCTAAATCTTTTTAATTCATGAATTTAATTGTATATACAACTAACCACTTGCCTGTAATTCCAGCACTTTGGGAGGCTGAGAAGGAAGGACTGCTTGAGCCCAAGAGTTTGAGACCAGCCTTGGCAACATAGCAAGACCCTGTCTCCATTTAAAAGAAAAAAAGGCCGGGTGCAGTGGCTTACACCTGTGATCCTAGCACTTTGGGAGGCCAATGGGGGCAGACCACTTGAGCTCAGGCATTTGAGACTAGCCTGGGCAACGTGGTGAAACACAGGTGGGGTGGCGTGTGTCCACAGTCCCAGCTACTTGCGGGGCCGAAGTGGGAGAATCACTTGAGCCCAGGAGGTTGAGGCTGCAGTGAGCTGAGACTGCACCATTGCACTCTAGCCTGTGACAGAGTGAGACCCTGCCTCAAAAAATAAAGTAAAATAAAAATACAAAATAAAACAGCAACAGCAAAAAACTAACCAGGTGCTAGCCAAGAAAGCTATAAAATTGAACCTTTATTCTTTAATTATAATCATTAGTTTTATTATTAATAATTAAAATAAGCACTTGACATGTAAAAACAATCTCACAAAATATATTAAAAAATAAATAAGCTATGAAACAATTAAAAGAAACTTTCCAAAGTTTGCGTGTATATATATATATATATATGCAAATTCCTGCATGAATATTTAGAAAAACTCGTTAGACACATGAGATCATATTAAACACAAAACCATTCAATCAGACATGTATACCTGTCCTTAGCAGGTCTGTGTGTCAAAACAGGACACACGCATGCTGAAAACAGGTGCCATATCAAATAGAAGAATGGAATGGAATGTAAAAACATAATGTATCTTGAAAATATGTAAGCGTTCCCCTTTGGTAAGAATGGGGACACATAAATTGAGGTTGGTGGTCACACACACACACACACCCCGCAGATAAATACAAGCTGTGTTTCCAGAATCTGGACTGAAGTGTCAGGAGGCTAAGAAATGAAAAGGGAGAAAAATGCCATCAAAGAAGAATCAGACTGTTTCACAGACGGTGCATGGAGAAGCGGGCAGCTTTTTCTGTAAATGGCCAGATGGCATTCTAGGCTTTGTAGACCATATGGTCGCTGTTGCAATGAGTCAGTTCTGCTGCTGCAGTGGGAAACAGGCATCAGAGGAGAGGAACCGGTGCGCACGCTGTGCTTCAGTAACACTGCACTTACCAAAACAAGCGAGCTACATGTGGCTTGTGGGCCACAGTTGTTGACTCTGCTCTAAATGTGAAAATCCCAAGTTTGGATAGGAAGAAGTCAGTTCAATAAATAACAAATATACAGAATCAACTTTCTCACGAGCAGCATAAGTATCAGCGTACCAGTTCTTACAATACTTTTCACCTTTGAAAGGAGAAAGTGCTGCTTATTAAAACCTGTCACTGAGCCCCATGAGTGACAACTCTCCATGCTAAAGTATCACAAACATACCCTGGATCATTATCTTAATGTTGATCCCGTCTGTTCTCTTTCTGTCACCACTTACAGCTAATCCAACAGGAAATACTGCTGGCTTTACTTTTTTTTTTTTTTTTTTTGAGACGGAGTCTCACTCTGTTGCCCAGGCTGGAGTGCAGTGGTGCAACCTCAGCTCACTGCGACCTCTGCCTCCCAGGTTCAAGTGATCCCCCTGCCTCAGCCTCCTGAGTAGCTGGGATTACAGGTGCCCGCCACCACACCTAGCTAATTCTTTTATTTTTAGTAGAGACAGGGTTTTCACCATTTTGGCCAGGCTGGTCTCGAACTCCTGATCTTGTGATGATCCGCCCACCTTGGCCTCCCAAAGTGCTAGGATTATAGGCGTGAGCCACAGCACCTGGCCGCTGGCTTTACTTTTTTTTTTCTTTTTTAAGATGGAGTCTTGCTTTGTTGCCCAGGCTCCAGTGCAATGGCACAATCTTGGCTCACTGCAACCTCTGCCTCCTGGCTTCCTGGGTTTAAGCAATTCTCCTGCCTTAGCCTCCCAAGTAGCTGGTACTACAGGCGCATGCCACCACACCCAACTAATTTCTTTTTTTTGTATTTTTACTAGAGATGGGGTTTCACCATGTTAGGTAGGATAGTCTCGATCTCTTAACCTGGTGATCCACCCGCCTCGGCCTACCAAAGTGCTGGGATTACAGGCGTGAGTCACTGCACCTGGCCAGCTTTACTTTTAAAACACCTCCAGAATCCAGCCATTTTGCACTTACCCCCATGACTTCCATCCTAACCTGAGCCACTGTCTGCCAGCTGAGTGACTGAAGAAGTCCCCACCTGGAGCCTCTGCTTTCTTGCTTGTCTACTTGTCTACTGCTTTCCTAACAGTCTACTTTCAGCAAGCACCACAGAAATCCTTTCAAAACTCTGTCAGATCCTGTCTCAGCCCTGCTCAAAGCTCTGCAGTATTGCCTCACTTTACTCACACTCAAACTCTGAGGTCTTTACAATGGCCAACAAGACCCTATGGGATCTGCCCAACTCTAAACCCTCGAAGGAAGCCCTGGGACACGCCAGAATGTCAGATCCTTGAAGGGGGCAGATCTGTTTGCTTTGTTCCCTGATGCTTCCTAAGCACTCAGAAGCATGCCTGCAGGGAGCAGGTGCTCCGTAAACATCTGTCAAATGAATCTTAATGAAAACATGCAAGCACTTCATCATCCCAAAGGAATATAAAACCTCATTCTCCATAAACTACAAAATGGGGAAGTACTAGGAGGCACTAGGCAACCAGCCAGCTCATCAAACGCTAATACCTGGAACACGCGAAAACAGCCCAGTTCTAACCTGTCTGCCACGAACCTCTGCTGAAAAGGCCAGAGGCTAACCAAAGGAAGGAACGTTTTTATTATTAGTGTAAGAGGGATCACTAATAATACAGTGATAATTATTTTAAATTCAATTACTGTTACATTTACATGAAATGTAAAGGTACACATCACTTTGGATTGGAGTATTAACAGATATAATCAAGATAAAGGCAAACCAACCTATGATAGGTCAGGTATTCCTTCCTGTAAAAAACAGACACGAGCTACATGGAGATTATCCGTCACAGCACAGCACCTCTCATTTCTCAGCATCACTGCTAGGCAAAGCCCTCATCAGAACAATAGATGACATCCTGACAACATCTCTGTGATCCCTCCTCTGCCACAAGGCACGTAAAACGGGCTGACAGAGCATTGACAGTAAACATCACCAAGACTATACAACATCCCAATTGGCCTAAAAAATGCTATTTTTGTATAGAAATTTTATTTTTCAGAAAAATATGTCAATTTCTAATCAGTTGACTATACAGTATTATCAAAAAGATTTCATTTTACAAAATGGCTATCAGAATATAATGAAGAAAAAGCAACCTTGGTGGCGTTTGATTTGGATTGAACAGACTGAGGTAAGAAGTGAAGGCCAGCTGTGCTCTTAGAAGGACGGGGGGCTTTAGAGCTGAAAGCTGCGCTGGCCCAAAGCCTCTGGGCTTGATTCTGCTTTCCACACCCAACCCTCTTCCCTACATCACTTCTGCACCATTACTTACTCATGATCTTTTTAAAAGTTCCTCTTTCTACCCTGCACACTTTTATTTTTACCACCGAAGTATGAAAAAAAATTTTTTTTTTTTTAGACGGAGTCTCACTGTTGCCCAGGCTGGTGCCCATGCCCAGTGATGTGGTCTCTGCTCACTGCAACCTCTGCCTCTCAAGTTCAAGCAATTCTAGTGCCTTGGCCTCCTGAATAGCTGGGATCACAGGCACCGGCCGCCACCCTGGCTAATTTTTTTTGTAATTTTAGAAGAGACGGGGTTTTGCCATGTTGGCCAGGCTGGTCTCAGACTCATGACCTTAAGGGATCCATCTGCCTTGGCCTCCCAAAGTGCTACGTTTACAGGTGTGAGCCACCGTACTACCTGACCGTAAGAGAAAACTGACAATTGCCTTTTTTCTGTCAATATATTTGTTCCCCACGACAAAGACTGTGACACTGACCATCATGTAAGAATCCAGGGTGCCACGTTCTGCGGCTTACACAAATGCACAGCTACCGCCTGTGTTCCATGCACACGGGGGGAGCCATTTCCCATGAGTTAATTCAACTAAAACAAGTTCTCAAATGATGTCCAACTCAAAACAAATGCAAAAGCTTGCCAGTGACTCAAATGAGTAACTTAGATTTAGATCGTCCAGGTATTTGTTTATATCATAGATGCAGCATAAGAAGATGAATTACAAAGTAGTCTGCTAAACTTTTTTCTCATAAAATGAAATAACTAACTATATATTTTGAAGAAACAATAATATTCCATCAGAGACCAGGATCTAATGCCATGTGAAGGGTAACGGCTGAGAGGCTTCCGGTACGGCCACCTCCCCCAGCAGCAGCAGACAGGACTACTCTGTATGTCAGAGACTTACAGCTTAAAACATGCATAAGAGCTGGGAACAGCGGCTCATGCCTGTAGTTCCAGCGACTCAGGAGGCTCAGGTGAGAGGATCATTTGAGCCCAGGCGTTTGAGAGCAGCCTGGGTAACGAAGCAAGACTTTGTCTCAAAAAAAGAAAAAAAAAAAGAGACATGTATTATGCTGACTTAAGTATAAAACAGAATCAAAGAACTAACACAGAAATATCTTCACTGTTTTCTCTGGTTGTAAACTGTCCCATAGGGAGATTTGATTCTATTCAACAAGTTTTACTAAACACGAAGATAGTAGCATATCTTCCTAATCTAACTGGCTCAATACATCACTATTTTGGAATTTCTGACTCAATTACTTTTAAGAGGGCTGCTTCTAAAAGGATTTTATCTTACTCTTAATTGCAGCCAGTTTTGCAGTGTGAATGAAGAACCAGGACAAAAATAAGTAAAATACTAATAATATACATTGCTGTGTGTATTTTCTATCTTAAAGATTACACAGAAATGATCAAGTTTGTTATGAGTCTATGTACTGCTTTTTAGTTCAGAGAAACATAAGAAAAACGAAAGAATTAAAAGATAAAAATAAAAGAACCCTTACCTTTTCTTATTTTGGGATTTGACTGAACTTCCAATATCACAGTTGTTACTGTATCTGCATACATATCATTAGAAGGGTTTGCCAACCACTGGAAAGCAAAAGGCAGAATTAGGAAGTGACCCACCTACAGAGACCAACCACAAAAGCTACAACTATAACCCACCCAACCATGACTATACATATGGAACTACTGCTTCTAACATTTCACTGAAATTAACTGACTCATTGTTTACTGAAATTAATAATACCATATTCCTCTTTCTGTAAACAACAAAAGTAAATTGTACTGAGCACTTCCTTTTCACATAATGTTTTATAGGTGTTATCATTTAATTTTCATTAACAAATAGTACTATTAACTTCATTTTATAAAAGAGAAAACTGACTCAGAAGTTACTTGCACAGGATAATTGCTGGGGCTGGGCTAACCTCAAATTCCAAATGCTTATATTTAGTATAGTATATGACTACAGACAGAATGTGAAGAGGGTAATATTTTAAACATTTACTTTTGTTTCTCACACTAAGCCTCAGATCCCCTGGCTTTTATTCCTAGGGTAAACATTCTCCGACATATTAACGCAGTCTCTAATAGTATTTAGTAGCATGAGCTAAATTAATGTCTCTAATAACTTTCCCCCTTTTCTGACATTAACATTTCTATATTGTTGCATGTAACTTCATGTTTATAGATAACTACTCCTTTTGACACTTTCTTTGTGTGTGTGGTTTTTTTTTTCCCCCAGGGTCTTGCTCTGTCACCCAGGCTAGAGTGCAGTGGCATGATCTCGGCTCACTGCAACCTCTACCTTCCAGATACAAGTAATTCCCCTGTCTCAGCCTCCCAAGTAGCTGGGACTTCAGATGCCTGCCACCATGCCCGGCTAACTTTTGTATTTTTAGTAGAGACTAGGTTTCACCATGTTCTCGAACTCCTGACCTCAGGTGATTTGCCCGCCTTGGCCTCCCAAAGTGCTGGGATTACAGGCGTGAGCCACTAGGCCTGGCCTGGCACTTTCTTTAGTTGCTTTTAGCCTTATCAATCAAATTTAGACTTAAATCACAGAACTGTATTGGGACCAAAGCTGAGAAATCTTTATTGTTTTAAAATAGAATGTATGCAAGGCAGGTGGATCACTTGAGATCAGGAGTTCAAGACCAGCCTGGCCAACCTGGTGAAGTCCTGTCTCTAGTAAAAATACAAAAATTAGCTGCGCATGGTGGCATGCACCTGTAGTCCCAGCTACTTGGTAGGCTGAGGCAGGAGAATCATTTGAACCTGGGAGGCAGAGGTTGCAGTGAGCCAAAGTCACACCACTGCATTCCAGCCTGGGTGACAGGGCAAGACTCTGTCTCAAAAAAAAAAAAAAATCAGAATGTATGCATAACATAGTTGACCATCTACCTTGGCAATTTACACACACTTCTACCTTGGGGCAGAGCAGCAGACAAAGTTCCTCCCTGGACTATTCAATAACAGGACTCACTTTGAAAGAACTTCTTTAAACTTAATGGGCACCAATCTATTAAATCAACTATGTAATTCCTTTGGTATCTATCTTCAAAACTCCACAAGCTGGATCTTAAAATTCTAATAGGAACCACATCACTTAATTTAATAATTTCTAGCCTTTTCAGATTTGGGTCACTTTATTGTTATTTATTTGAATCTTCAAAAGTCTACTCTTTTAATGAGTGGTACATGATAAATTTGTCTTAATTTAACAAAATTAAATTTTTACCTTAAGAACTGTAAACCTTTTGAGATAACTAAAAACATCTTGGGGTACCACAAAATCAGTTGAGATTTATATGAGAGAATGACACTTACTACACATGCTAAATGTGAAACCTTAATTTATTATTAGTTTTTTGTGACTACATAGAAAATGCTCAGCTACTTAATTATACTTAATGCTGATCTTGAAAACATATATATATATGTACTTTCCAACAATATTCTTTTTCTAATTGGGAAGAAACTAACTTTCTGTACGATTATACATGAACTCTTTTTAAACTTTTTTCCCCTCATTGTTTAGGTAAATGATCTTATCTTACTTCTAATACCACCATGCCTGGTTCTTGTATTACAGTAATATTTTTGAACACTTTCAGAGCGGGTTTTTCTTGAATTTCTAATTCTTCCACATCACCTGAAAGAAAGACGTAATTACAAGATGCATATACTTTTCTGATAATCTTCCAGAGACCATTCATTTGTTTATAGACAGCTCAAATAAAGCAGCTACACGATGAAAAAGTAACTCATTTGTATAGTCCATTTTTAAACAGCAAAGTACAGCAACTGAAGTCTGAACATGTACTGCAAAAATTCAGATAACTAGGTAGCATTTAACTTGGACATCAAACATTTTATCAGTAGTAAACTTAAATGATGTTTGAACATCTGTTTTGTATACAAGGGTTTTAGCCTTCCAGGAGCATCTTAACATGTGATATAAAACCAGTCAATTGTTGCCAACTAGTTTTGTCTACCTTCTGTCTTCGTAAGCTTAATTGTTCTACAGTGAAATTCTATTGCTGAAGAAACTTTTCTGGCCTTTCTAGCATCCTCTTAATCAAGGACAGTTCAGACATATTTTATTAACCTTCTATGTTATGACAGATAATCCTAGTGCAATCCAAGGTTTAAAAACAAGACTTTCTTTCTACTGGTTTATTTTATGGTAGCACTTCATGAGTTATGAAGAGCGTTACTGATGGAAAATGTATTTTGTAATATGAAGTATTCTTGCTTTAACAGAAAGTTCACACCTTTTAATTTAGGCACTGACCTCATTATGTTAATACACAAAATCTCAAACTCAAATTATCTATTCTGAAAACATACTAGGTTTATTTTCTCACTGGCCTGTGGCTAGTGGTCATGAACTCTTATAAAACCTGCTGTATAGACTGGTATCGATAAAACCAGAAAAATTATTTTCACTGATCAAAGAAAAGAAATAGGTCAAATTTTAGGTATCATCAAGTAAAACAGATTTTAAACACAAGGAACAAAGACTACTAAATTTTAAGTGGGCCAAAGTTAAGTGTTACGGAATTTAAAAAAATTTTTGAGTATATTTTCTTCTTAAAAAAAATTTTTTTAGTGTTTTTAAATTTTTTTCCAGGACCATCAGGCAAGAATATGAGTCTATTTTCTAAAATTTCACATAAAGGCAATAATAACATGACTACATATATTAATAAAACATATAATTCTGAGATAATTATCAAAATTAAGTAACATTCTTTTCTAGAAAGTTTTCTTACTAAAAAACAGAAAGCAATGAAATGAATTTTAATACACACACACACCTGTCAATTTCTGCAGCTGGTAATAGAGCAAATTAAAGGGACCAGTATATGGAATGGCTTGGGTCTGCTTCACAGTGCTCATGGCCAGGTCAGTATAATCTGAAGAGAAAATCAGAATAGACTTGAAGAAACAGTATCAGTCTGACAAAACACATACCAGGAGCAAAGAAAAAAGAAAGAAAAGCAAAGTAAATGTAAACATGTTTTTCAGAAAGCTAACCAGATGCTCCTTAATTTGGTACCACCTGACATTTCCCGATCCATCTCCCTATGTCCCCACGTCTCTCGCTCAGTGAACTTCTACTCCAGCCTTAGGAAAGCACCTCATGCCCCCAAACACACCAGGTTCTTGGATGCCTTGAAGCTGATATGTTAGCTATCATCTGCCTTCTTTCCTTGGTAACTCCCAACAATCATTCACCACCCAGCCCAAGGGCTGCCTGATTTGCAAAATTTTTCCTAACTCCTGAGGTGCCCAGTCTCTTCATATACTTATCACACACTTCTATACGCCACTGAGCAATACCAGGATGAGCTCTTCCCAAGACCGTTTTCCTCATTATACAGATTGCAAGGGCTGGGACTACGTGGCATAAGAGTAAGAGCTCACTCACAGAATGAAGGCACAAGTCACACAGTGACCTACGATGCTTTGAAAGCAGACAGCAGGGCAATTTCACAGGTAAATACCCCAACACACTACTACTATTTCTGCTGTCTTTTCTTTTCTTTCTTTTTTTTTTTTTTGAGATGGAGTCTCACACGGTTGCCTGGGCTGGAGTGCAATGGCGCAATCTTGGTCTCCAACCTCTGCCTCCTAGGTTCATACAATTCTTCTGACCAGCCTCCTGAGTAGCTGGGATTACAGGCACACACCACCACATCTGGCTAATTTTTTTGTATTTTTAGCAGAGATGGGGTTTCACTATGTTGGCCAGACTGGTCTCGAACTCCTGACTCTGTGATCCACCCGCCTCGGCCTCCCAAAGTGCTGGGATCACAGGCATGAGCCACTGTGCCCGGCCCACTATTTCTTATTCCTGCATAAAGCGTATATAATTTATTAGTACCATGTAAGTCACCTTGAGCATACTATTTACTTGAAGATAATACCATATTCATCGGAAAATGACTGGTTAATGGTTCAGTAAATTTATAAAGACAAAGATGTAATCTTATTGGTTTTGTGCAATTTTTCATTTTTCTTTACAATGAGATTCAATTTATACACATTAGAGGCATCAGTTATAGTTGGTGTTACTTATTTGGATGCTGAAAGTTCCAATGTAATGAAAAAATGAGGCTTTACATTAATTTCTGCTTTTAAAGAAATTATAGAAGCTGTTGTTCCTACTCTTTCTGCAATGGTGAAGGAATGGAAAGGCCCAGCAAGTGATATAAAGGTCATGAAAAACTGAAATGCTTATGTAAAGGTCATAAAAACCAAACGGCTTATCTGGCGAATCCAAAGTCACTTCAGAAGATAAAAGGCCACCAGTGTGTTGTAGAGGGCAGGAAACAGGGTGAACAGGAATAGTCGATGAATTCAGAAATGAACTTAACGTTTCCAACAATGAAGCAAGTGATTTCACAAATAATTTAAATCTTTCAGTAGTTTACGGGAAGTGTTTTCTTCTTCCCACAACGCTAATTAGATTACTCGTACCTATTCCTTTGTTATTATTTGCCTGTTACCTAAAATTTGGCCACTAGGTGAAAAGTTTTCATAGATTTTCTTTCAGTGCTAAGGTGAAGTTAGATTTTTTTTTTTTTTTTTTTTTTTTTTTGAGACAGAGTTTCGCTCTTGTTACCCAGGCTGGAGTGCAATGACGCAATCGCGGCTCATCGCAACCTCCGCCTCCTGGGCTCAGGCAATTCTCCTGCCTCAGCCTCCTGAGTAGCTGGGATTACAGGCACATGCCACCATGCCCAGCTAATTTTTAGTATTTTTAGTAGAGACGGGGTTTCACCATGTTGACCAGGATGGTCTCCATCTCTTGACCTCGTGATCCACCCGCCTCAGCCTCCCAAAGTGCTGGGATTACAGGCTTGAGCCACCGCACCCGGCCCTGAAGTTAGATTTGACATTTAATAGTATACTTACTGGACAGGTCGCAAGGGGAAAGTATGTGATAATTAAAGTTTCTTTTAACAAGTATTCCTGAGACCCGCTGGCCTTGTTCTGGTTTTTTGTCTGCTAAAAATCCCATAACCTGTTTAAAAAAAAAAAACTTGAAGATAGAACCTGGTAAAATACAGTTATTCAGTACTAAACTGCAGTTCATCAGAATGATCATAACACCCTGAACTATGAAGACACATGAATTTAGTGATGAAAAACATAAAATGTTTTGTATCTCTATGACGAGGGCAACAGCATTGCTACATTGTCAAAGGGAAGAGTCACAGTGGCAGATTTAGCAAGAATGGCTAGGTGCAGTTCAGTTCTAATCAGTTCAACAACCAAGTCACTTACTAGGTGCTGGGGCTTAAGAAAGCTCTCACTAGTTGCAAAGTAGTAGGGAAGGCCGGGAAGTGCCCATGAAACACACACATGCACTTCCTCAGGCTGGTTGCAAACTCATACAGAGAGTGAGGTACACTGATACAGATCTGGGAGGCTGTGGTACACTTAACACTAAAAGCAGCAGCAGCAGCAGCTTTGAATAAAAAGGTCAATAAAGACAGGTATGGGTGAGCTCATAAATTGAGGGAGAAACATTTTAAGAGAATAAACAACCATTTAAAAACAAAAATATTACAAATGTGAAACATTTTTTGTTTGAGACAGATTTTTTTTTTTTTTTTTTTGAGACGGAGTTCCGCTCTTGTTACCCAGGCTGGAGTGCAATGGCGCGATCTCGGCTCACCGCAACCTCCGCCTCCTGGGTTCAGGCAATTCTCCTGCCTCAGCCTCCTGAGTAGCTGGGATTACAGGCACGTGCCACCATGCCCAGCTAATTTTTTGTATTTTTTTTTAGTAGAGACGGGGTTTCACCATGTTGACCAGGATGGTCTCGATCTCTTGACCTTGTGATCCGCCTGCCTCAGCCTCCCAAAGTGCTGGGATTACAGGCTTGAGCCACTGCGCCTGGCCCAGTTTTTTTTTTGTTTTTTTTTTTTTTTGGAGAGAGTCTTGTTCTGTCACCCAGGCCGGAATCCAGTGGTGTGATCATCGCTTACCATGTGCGCCACCATGCCTGGCTTATTTTTGTATTTTTTATAGAGATGCGGTTTCACCCTGTTGCCCACGCTGATCTTGAATTCCTGAATGTAACAGATCTGCCTGCTATAGCCTCTGAAAGGGCTGGGATTACAGACGTGAGCTGCCAAACCTGGCTGAAATCCAGTATTCTTAAATATAACTTCTCTCAACTGCAAATAAATGGGCTCAAGGGAATAAAGACGGGGTGTTCCATACTTGTTTACCTTTAAGCAAGTAAGAGCGAATAGCAAGCAGGCAGTGCTCTATTTGTTCTCATAAATAATAAACAGAAAGAGTTGTATTTCATAGGATTTCTTAGGGTTATTTTCTCCTTAATTGTTGGCAGCTTTCAGTAAAGAACCTTTGCTCTTAGGAAACTATTTTTAATACAATGATGCTGTACTTGAGAGAAAAAAACAACTAAAGGTAATGATTTTAAATAACTAAAATTATGGGTAAGAAACAGAACACTCCAATAAGAAACCCAGCTTTTCCTGAACTCAGTTTAATTCACCTTCTAAACTGTTTGATCGAAACACTTTTTTTCTCCCCACATCTCTACCACCAGCAGAGTATGGGAAATACAGTTCTAGGTTCTCAACTGAATATATTTTTCTACAGGTATAAGAAAAATACTATTAAATTGGCCCCTGGAAAGTTTTGCGAACAGTAAGACTCAGGAGTAACGGCAACCATTTACAACACACTCTTAAGTTTTACTAATTTCTTTTTTCCTCCAATTCACCTTCGAGAAAGGATATTCATTAATTAGCATCTGCAGGTTTGGCTAATTTTGTATTAAAAGAGTGTTGTTAAGTTGCTTATTAACATATGTAGATTTGTTTTTTAGACGGGGTATCGCTCTGTTGCCCAGGCTGGAGTGCAGTGGCACGATTTCGGCTCACTGCAACCTCTGCCACCCAGGTTCAAGCAATTCTCCTGCCTCAGCCTCCTGAGTAGCTGGGATTACAGTTGTGCACAGCCGTGACTGGCTAATTTTTGTATTTTTAGTAGAGACAGGGTTTCTCCATGTTGCCTAGGCAGGTCTCGAACTCCTGATCTCAGATGATTCACATACCTTGGCCTCCCAAAGTGCTGGGATTACAGGCATGAGCCCATACGTTGATATTTAAACCTTCAACTAAATCATTAAAATTTGTGCCTGAGGCTGGCGCAGCGGCTCACACCTGTAATCCTAGCACTTTGGGAGGTTGAGGTGGGTGGATCATTTGAGGTCAGGAGTTTGAGACGAGCCTGGCAAGTGTGGTGAAACCCCGTCTCTATTAAAAATACAAAAAAAATTAGCCAGGTGTTGTGGTGGGTGCCTGTGATCCTAGCTACTCGGAAGGCTGAGACAAAGAATCACATGATCCGGGGAGGTGGCAGTTGCAGTGAGCTGAGACAGTTCCAGTGCGCTCCAGCCCAGGTGACAGTGTAAGACTCTGTGTCAAAAAAAAAAAAAAAAAAAAAAAAGTTTGTGCCTGTAGTCCCAGCTACTTGGGATGCTGAGATGGGAGGATCAGCTGAGCTTAGGGAGGCTGAGGCTGCAGTGAGTCATGAATGCACCACCACACTCCAGCCTGGGCAACAGAGTGAGTTGTTTGACATGTCAAACAAAAAACAGAATGTGGGAGTGCAGATATCTCTTCAACATACTGATTTCAATTCCTTTCTAAAAAATTTAAAATTACATATATGCATACATTTTTAAAGTTTCCCTTAGAAATATTTCTAAGAGAGTTGTGACCAACAGAAGTACAGACGCAGGTCTGACAGCACCCCTCTAAAAGCCATATCAGCTTTCCTTAACTATTTCAACTTTACATTCTGAAAATATTACATTTCACTCTCAAAAATGGTTAATTCTTTTATTTTTTCTAGACAAGGTCTTGCTCTGTCACTCAAGCTGGAGTGCAGTGGCAGGACAGTGGCTCACTGCAGCCTCAACCTCTTGGGCTCAAGCCATCCTCCCACTCCAGCCTCCCAGGTAACTGGGACTATAGGCACATGCCACCACACCCAGCTAATCTTTGTATTTTTTGTAGAGAATGGGTTTCGCCATGTGGTCCCAGACTGGTCTTGAACTCCTGAGCTAAAGTGATTCACCTGACCCCGCCTCCCAAAGCCCTGAGATTACAGGAGTGAGTCACTACCATGCCCAGTCTTGATTACTTCTTTTTTGTTTTTGTTTTGAGACTGAGTCTCACTCTGTTGCCCAGGCTGAAGTGCAGTGGCGTGATCTCAACTCACTGCAACCTCCACCTCCCAGATTCAATCTTAGCTCACTGCAACCTGTCTCCCGGGTTCAAGTGATTCTCCTGCCTCAACCTCCCAAGTAGCTGGGATTACAGGCACCTGCCACCACGCCCAGCTAATTTTTTTTCGTATTTTTAGCAGAGGTGGCATTTCACCATGTTGGCCAGGCTGGTCTCCAACTCCTGATCTCAAATGATCCACCCACCTCGGCCCCTTAAAGTGCTGGGATTACAGACGTGAACCACCATGCCTGGCCAATTAATTCTTAAAAAGAAAATGTTTCCATATTCCTTCATATCTATACAAACACAGATGTTTAGAGACATGTGCCTACATTTAGATTCTCAGGAAGAATGACAAGAGGTGGACATACAGCTGCACTGGCTACAGTAACAAACAGTAATGAACATTTCTTTACTCTCAGATGTGGGAAGGAAAAACAAGTGGGGTGTGGATTAAAGAGCTATCAGATTCAGCTGCATTAAGGCCTAATCGAGCTGAACACTTTCCATCTGAAGAAATGAACGGACAGAACTGAAAGCAGCCAAACAGGGTAAGGATACAATTCCTGCGGTATAACAAGTAGACAGAAATAAGCATATTCTTTTGACTGAGGGAGATCTATTTTCTTTTCTTTTTTTTTTTTTTTTTGAGATGGAGTTTCGCTCTTGTTACCCAGGCTGGAGTGCAATGGCGCGATCTCGGCTCACCGCAACCTCCGCCTCCTGGGTTCAGGCAATTCTCCTGCCTCAGCCTCCTGAGTAGCTGGGATTACAGGCACGCGCCACCACGCCCAGCTACTTTTTTGTATTTTTAGTAGAGACGGGGTTTCACCTTGTTGACCAGGATGGTCTCGATCTCTTGACCTCGTGATCCACCCGCCTCGGCCTCCCAAAGTGCTGGGATTACAGGCTTGAGCCACCGCGCCCGGCTATTTTCTTAAGTACAGTCTTTCATGGATTGGATCGACGGGAACCATAGCCTTTTACCTTGGCCAGTTTTTCTCCTCTGAAGTTTAAGGTCACTGCTTCTGTATTCCGAGGATTATGAACCTCTATGTGAACTTCATCATTATCTTCATATTCTCGAATCAGTGCTGCTTTCAACCTGGCCATTTCGTTCTGTTCTCCATGGACTAAAATCTACACAGAAGAAATGTTAAAAGAACATAGGAAAACATCATTCAGATTAATCATGGTCTTTAGCTGAATTAATTAAATATATGAAACAGAAACATACCTAGAAGCTCTGAAACTTTACTACTTTTAAGGACCTTCAGCTGATTCAACTTGTATACACACAGTCATTCTGTTTGGCTTTAAAAGACCCTTATGTGGTACTATTTGAACAGAGTAAAGAAACTTCTTCTCTACTCCAGTCTTTGCCACTAATGAGATATATACCTTTTCCATGTTTCACTGTTTCTCTGTTCACAGTGGGAAAGGGCTGACTTCTGTAATCTTCCAGTTTTAAATGCCTATGACTCTGGTACAAAACTATTGCTACCCTACTGTCTCAGAAAACACCCATGGTTCGTTCTTTTTGAGATGGAGTCTTGCTCTGTCGCCCAGGCTGGAGTGCAGCAGTGGCACAATCTCAGCTCACTGCAGCCTCCACCTCCTGAGTTTAAGCAATTCTCCTGCCTGAGCCTCTCAAGTAGCTGGGTTGAGGTGCATGCAACCACGCCTGACTAATTTTTGTATTTTTAGTAGAGACAGGGTTTCACCATGTTGGTCAGGCTGGTCTCAAGCGCTTGACCTCAAGTGATCCACCCACCTCGGCCTCCCAAAGTGCTGGGATTACAGGGGTGAGCCGTTCTCCTTAGGTTTCTTAAAATAAAACTTTCAAAGGATGCTGTGAAGAAAAACAGTTACTTCTGATGTTTTCTTCTATTAAAGCAATAGCTCATATATATATATATATATATTTTATTTTTTATTTTTATTTTGAGATAAGTCTTGCTCTGTCGCCCAGGCTGGACTGCAGTGGCATGATCACAGCTTACTCACTGCAACCTCCACCTCCCAGGTCCAAGTGATTATCCTGCTTCAGCCTACTGAGTAGCTGGGATTACAGGTGCATGTCATCATGACTGGCTAATTTTTGTATTTCTAGAAGAGACAAGGTTTCACCATGTTGGCCTGCCTTGTCTCGAACTCCTGGCCTCAAGTGATCCACCCATCTTGGCCCCTCAAAGTGCTGGGATTGCAGGCCTGAGCCACTGCGCCCAGCCAAGATAGATTGTTCTTAGCGTCTTACATCTGGTAGATGGCTTGTGGCTGGCCATGGCCAGCACCAGCATGAGGCAGAGGCTCACTGCTTGGAGGGGAAGGGCCTGAGCCTGGCTGCCTGAGCAGAATCCTGGCGCTGCTGCTTATTAGCTGTGACCAAGGTATTTCACACCTCAGTTTTCTCATCTGCAGAAAGGCTGTTGGTCATGAAAATTAAGCAAGTCAGTTCATACACAACACAAGCACAGTGCCTGGCACATGGTGAATAATCAATGTTAGCTATTTTTAACTACTACCACGACACTACCAGTATTGCAATTTTCTCCTGCTGATGTACTTTTGCTGGAGGTGGTTATTAAAGGAAAATGAGCATGAAGTTCCACCCAAGAACTTAAACTGTCAGCAGAAGTAGAACCAGGGGAGCGACAGGATGAAACGGGACTGAGGATCAGGTGGTGACACCACACGGGAAGGGCAGTATGGCTTTTCCTCCCTGGCTTGGAAATCTGGGCAAAAATGTTCATACACACATACAATAGGAAACACCTGGGAGGAGCCTTCTGTGACTAAACTCTACAGGCCAGGACGCTATGGACAGGAGAGTGCTTTTTCTCTACCAAATAATCTGCTCATTAAGGGCCAGTGGGCAAATACCTGTGAGGCCCATCATGCTAGAAATAACTCAAAAACAAAAGAGTTCACAAAAAGGTACTCAACATTAGTCATTAGAGAAACGAAAATCAAAACCACGACGGGATACCACTTGACACTAGCTGAAAAGTGACACAACCAAAGGTCCATCCACAGGCGGATGGATAAACAACATGTGGTCTCCATATAATGGACTATCACTTCGGCATGAAGTTCTGATGCCACAACGTCATGAGCCTTGAAAACCTCATAGGCATTATGATTCCTCTTATATAAAATACCTAGAATAGTCAAATTCACAGAAATAGAAAGGAAGTTTGAGATTACCGGGGTAGGGGGAAGGGAACGGGGAGTTACTGTGTAATGGTCAGAGTTTCTGTTTGGAGTGATGAAAAGCTGTGAAAGTAGACAGTGGTGATGGTTGTATAACACTGTGAATATAACTAATGTCACTGGTTTGTACCCTTAAAAACGGTTAAAACTGCAAATTTTATGTTAGGTATTTTACCACAGTAAAACGTATTTCATATTTAAAAAACAACAAGCAAACAACCAAAACTAACAAAAGGCCATTTCTTCTAAACTGCTTTCCAATATACTCAGAAAGGGTATTTAATCTGTTTTCTATTATCTATGGAAATAGAGAGAGAATAGATAGAAGTACCCTTTCTGAGTATATTGAAAAGAGATGAAGAAAATAGATGAAATATCCTTCATCTATTAGAGTTCTTCTAATTAAAATACATACTTTTGGCCAGCTGTGCAGTGGCTCATGCCTGTAATCCCAGCACTCTTGGAGGCCAAGGCGGGCTGATCACGAGGTCAAGAAATCGAGACCATCCTGGCCAACATGGTGAAATCCCATCTCTACTAAAAGCATAAAAATTAGCTGGGTGTGGTGGCACGCACCTGTAGTCCCAGCTACTTGGGAGGCTGAGGCAGGAGAATCACTTGAACCCAGGAGGAGGAGGTTGCAGTGAGCCAAGATCATGCCACTGCACTCCAGCCTGGGCAACGGAGTGATACTCTATCTCAAAAAACAAACAAACAGAAAAACATACTTTTTTCAGCTTACTCCTCCTTTCTGATTCCATCAAAATATCTAACTTATTTTTAGTAAGTTACATGACTCTTAAAAATATAAATAGGTCATATATTAATAAGGAGCTATATAGTGCATTTCACATCTATTTAAATCTTATACTATTATGTGACTTGTCTTTCTCCTCTCTCCAAATTACCCTTGCACTATTGCTTATTATTAAGCATTTACTATGTGCCAGACACCATACTAAGTGCTTTAGATATAAATTCTCACTTCGTCCTTACAATAACCTTACGAGCTATTATTATTCCTATTTAGAAATGAGGTACAGAGAGGTTGAGTAACTTGCCAAGGGTTATACAGCAAGTAAGAGATGGAGCTGGCATTCCAAACAAGCAGTCATACTCCAAGCCTGACTCTTAAATTTTTGGGGAGGCAGCAGAAAATAATAAAAAAAATTAGAATTGGGATTGGTAGGTCTGAATAAGAGTCAGTTAAGATGGAGAAAGTGTGCAGCTTGCTTCAATCAAAGGGGAGTTGTAAAGGTCAAATCCAAGTGCAAGTGAAAGGCTCTGTTCATGAGGTGTTGCATTAGTAGATGATGATGCTTGCTTTGTGAACTGGCTGCTGCATAGCTCCTTGGGTATGCACCTTTTTTCCCCTTTAATACAAAAAATAAAAAGCCCTAGACTAACCACATGAGGCGGTTTCAAAGCACGAATGAATTCACTGGTTTGCTGGTAATCTGTGTGAGCGGAGAAGGAAATGTAATCCACAGACATTTTCAGCGGCAATTTCTGTCCAGACATGGTAGTGATTTCTTCAGGTTCAGACATGATGTGCTGTTGAAAATAAAGAAAAATAACAAACGAACCACCCAGTTAGAAACATAAAGGTACTTTTTAATTTTTTTCATGCAGTCATAAACTTATGTTAAATTTAGGACCTTCAACACAAAATCATAAGTGACGCAGTAAATACCAAATACTCATGTTCTCAATCAAACAAACATTTAATGAGGAAAGTAAACAAATTAACTAGAACCCATCTATCTGGAGTGCCGGCAGTGAGAATCTTAACTCTTATGCTTAGAAAGACAAACCTGTATTCCCAACTATTCTTGCGCTTTCCAAAGTAATTTCCCAAATATGTGGATGTTTCTGTTCTGAAAAAAAAAAAAATTTTTTTTTGAAGTAGGGGTGCATTTTGTCATGCAGGCTGAAATGCAGTGTGCGATCTCGGCTCACTGTAGCCTCAACCTCCCAGATTCAAGAGATCTTCCTGCCTCAATCCCCCAACTAGCTAGGACTACAGGCGCATGCCAGCACACCTGGCTAATTTTTGTGTTTTCTGTAGAGACGGGATTTCACCATGTTGTTTAAGCTGGTATTGAACTCCTGAGCTCAAATGATCCACTCACCTTGGCCTCCCACAGTGGTAGGATTACAGGGGTGAGCCACCATGCCAGGCCTGAAAATCTATTGTTATTATTATTTTTTGAGATGGAGTCTTGCTCTGTCACCCAGGCTGGAGTGCAGTGGTGCCATCTCGGTTCACTGCAACCTCTGCCTCCGGTTGCAAGCAATTCTCCCTGCCTCAGCCTCCCAAGTAGCTGGGATTACAGGTGCACACCATCACACCCAGCTAATTTTTTGTATTTTTAGTAGAGATGGGGTTTTCCTATGTTGGCCAGGCTGGTCTCTTAACTCCTGACCTCAGGTGATCTGCCTGCTTCCGCCTCCCTGAGTGCTGGGATTACAGGTGTGAGCCACTGTACCCAGCCTGGAAATCTATTTTAAATACAACATTGTCACTAAAGAACTTTATAGAATAAGGTAAAGTAATAAAGATTATCAAAATAAAGAATCATATTATATTTTTAAAAATAAAGTAGATGTTAATGCTAAAGGATGAGAATGTCATGCCTGATGCTCAGAAATTGCCTCTCAAATTTTGCATATATTTTCTGCAATGTCTCCATCCCTAAGAGCTGAAAATCAACCATTTTATAACAATAGAAGGCAGTCAACCTAAACACACCCTATAGCTTTTTAAGATCATACGTATTAGTAAACCTCTTCTTCATTAGATAACGGAGGGTATTCATGTGTTGTCTCAAACAGGTTCCTATCCTTCCTTCTTTACTTGCAATCAGATGAGCACTTCTAAAACTTCAATGTGTACATCTATCACCTGGGACCTCATTATGCCATTCAGTGTCTGCATAATTCCGCATCCTATACACATCTCTAGCTACCTATTTTCATCCTCATTTTTTAAAATCAAAACTTGGATTATTTAAAGAACGACTTCAATGGGAAAACCTGTGAGGACCCTGGCACCTCCGTAATTCTGATTAGGAATAGCACAATAGCCTGTGACTACACCTGACCTTGGCAAGTGTCCCTTCTACACAGTATCCTGCTATAATGACGCCGTTCCTCTTATCAGTGCACCAGCTTTCAAATAACTCTCTGGATAAGCCACTTTGCATCATGCCTGGGGAGGCCATTACAACACTGGGACCAATGTCATCAAAATGATCCATGCTCTAAGAGAGAAAACAGAATGGGAAGAGTATGTTAGCTACCAGCAGCTACTAAACCATTCTTTATTTTTAAAGAATAACAAAAGGCTAGGTAAGAGATTAATCACACTACTGAAAGGGCCTTCACAAGATCTGTAAACATTTTAAGTTCAATTGCCAAGTTCCTAAACAGTGTAGGTTAGGAATGATAGAAAAGCCACGTAATAAAAAGCAGTAAGTTCACCCTGATCTTCCAAACCTATTGGAAGCTAGAGGGCCAGCAGAACCATCAGAATCATCTTCAAGTGCCTAGCAGGAAGGCAGAAAAGTAAAAAGAAGAGTCAAATGGGTCTTGATTTACCCATGGCACAACTGAAAAAACATTCCCAAAGACTCACAGTGGCTTTGCATGCTTCAGGAATATTTTGAGCTGGCCTGGAAATCAAAAGGTTTAACATTGTTCTAGGGAGAACTTGTTTATAATCCTTAAGAAGTTAACTTAAAACACATACTTTATGAAAATCCCTATTTACAACTGGAAGACCACTTTTAAATTATTTTGGATATCAATTATTTTATTATGATTAAAGCATCAATTTGAATTAAACAGTATTTTTAAAATTAAATAAAATCATATTTTATTGAATGCTTCTAGAAAAGTATATACAAATTTTCATATACGGAATTTGCAGCACTAATCAAAAAGATGATTTGGTTTGAGTGAGAAGAGAAACTCAAGTACATAATACAAGACGCTTTTGTCAGAACTTTTTATTCTACAGCAAAAGAGATAAGTATTATAAATAACGAGAACATATGGCGAGATGGGGCAAGTGGCAAAATCTGTTGAAACAAAAAAAAGAATGCCAGCTGCTGAAGTTTTGATTTCCTGCAGAAAAACGACACCTGCTAGCGAAGAGGTAAGACCTCAGCAAGAAGAATTCAGCCAGGGTTGCACCTCCTACAGTTTTTTTTTTTATTTGTACAGAGACAGGGTCTCACTGTCTCACCCAGGCCAGTCTCAAACTCCTGAACTCAAGTGGTCCTCCTGCCTCAGACTACCAAAGTGTTAGAATTACAGCTGTGAGCCATCCCTCATGGCCTCGTATCTCCTACTACTAGTGACTGATTTGGTTTTATCCATCCTTGTCTTTCATCCACAAGCACTCACCTTGAGGTTACTAATGTGTTTGAAAACAAAGGGATTATTGATGTTGATCTGTTTGCGGATTTTGTCGTTCATGGCATTTACGTATGTCTGGTATACTGCCATACACTTCTTGGCCAAAGATGATGCATAGTATATTGGAATGTCATGTAGTTCTGGGTGATTCTGCCAGTACTCATCTAGAGAGAGATTGCAAGAAACAAATATCACTTTGTTACATGAGGTAAATAGTTCAAATAATAAATGATACACACAGAAGCAAGAAATGTTACACAGACAACCAAGAAATAAAGCATGTAACTACATCTTAAAGAGTATAAGCAAAATTATCCTGGTTGTAGCTAATTTAAATTTACAAAACAAAAACTTATTTCTAAATTGTGCATAACCTAGAAAGAATGCTATGATCATGGTCCAAAGACGTGGAGGCTTTAAAAAATGACTCAATATACGTTTACAATGAAGACTATAACTTATTACCATAATAAGACACTAAGTAATACATTTTTATTTAAAACATCAGAGAAAAAACTCTGTGAAAAACTGTGATGGTTTTAAATAAAACTGTATTATTAATATTTCAAACAAATTTATTGACTGCTAATTACAAAACAGAATTGCCAAAACAATGAACCAATTTTGAACACGTAAAAAGAAAGTATAGTCACATTAACGCTATTATTGGTTTTTCGTTTTTGTTGTACGCCAAGGCTGTCACCCAGCATTGAGGGCAGAGGTGTGATCATGGCTCACTGCAGCAACCTCGGGTTCAAGTGATCCTCCACCTCAGCCTTCTGAGGAGCTGGGACTACAGGAGTGTGCTACCACACTTGGCTACTTTTTTTTTTTTTTTCTTTAGAGACTGGATCTCACAATGTTGCCTAGGCTGGTCTGGAACTCCTGGACTCAAGTGATTCTCCTGCCTCAACCTCCCAAAGTGCTGGGATTATAGGCATGAGCCACCACACTCAGCCATGCTTACATTTTTAAAAACTACTAACCAGTTTCTGATAATTAATGAAAGTAGTGAGCAATATATCTTCAAAGACTTACGTTCCAGGAAAAGCCCTCATTCAATCTCCAAATTTTATCAAGGTAGGCTCTTTATTCTAATAGGTGCCTCTGCAGTTTTAAAATGTATTATATGCTTATTATATAACTTATATCGCCGGGCGCGGTGGCTCAAGCCTGTAATCCCAGCACTTTGGGAGGCCGAGGCGGGTGGATCACGAGGTCGAGAGATCAAGACCATCCTGGTCAACATGGTGAAACCCCGTCTCTACTAAAAATACAAAAATTAGCCGGGCATGGTGGCACGTGCCTGTAATCCCAGCTACTCAGGAGGCTGAGGCAGGAGAATTGCTTGAGCCCAGGAGGCGGAGGTTGCGGTGAGCCGAGATCGCGCCATTGCACTCCAGCCTGGGTAACAAAAGCGAAACTCCGTCTCAAAAAAAAAAAAAAAAAAAAAATAACTTATATCTATAATTTCTAATTTTCAAAACAACTTACGAAGACATCATCTTAACTAGCAAAGTAAGGGTTTAAAAAAAGGCTGAATATTGTGTGAATGTTATTTTTCAATTTGATGTATCAATGATAACTCTATATGAGGAAAAAGACTGTCTGTCACGTGTGTTACAAATAAATTTCCTGCTTTGTCGTCTAGTTTATCCAATACATGCTCCGTTTAATTACTCTTATGATTTCTTAGATACCTCAAAACAGATTACATCACATCCCATAATCACACCACAATTTCCTGTTTTGTTGTATTTTTATGAATAACTTTGATTTTAAAAAGTTAAATAATTTGTCCAAGGTCATACGGCTCTAGCCATATGATAGATTTGACCTGAAACATAGGTAAGATTTGAAAGCAGCTGTCCTTTCTATTATACTATATTACAAGGGAGAATTTAAGAAAAGGGGGCAACCAGTTGCATAGAGCAGATGATAGAATTGCTAGATAAAAATACCAACCATCCAGTTAAACTTGAATTTCAGGTGAACAACAAACGATTTTTACTATAAGAATATATACTAATGAGACCAGCCTGGCCAACATGGTGAAACCTCATCTTTACTAAAAATACAAAAATTAGGCCGCTGTGGTGGTGGGTGCCTGTAATCCCAGCTACTCGGGAGGCTGAGTCAGGAGAATTGCTTCAACTCGGGAGGTGGGGGTTGCAGTGAGCCGAGACAGTGCCACTGCAATCCAGCCTGGGTGGCAGAGTTAGACTCTTGTCTCAAAAGAAAAAAAAAAAGAATGTGTATTAAATATTTGGAACATTTATACTAAAATATTATTCAGTATTTATCTGAACCTAAAATTTCATGGGTTGTCCCTATGGTTTCATTTGCTAAATCTGGCAACCCAATTTGATGGTGACAAATTGTTTTAACTTCCTAACTTCTCTGCTCTTCATCTTACTGGTTATGAAGATTTTTATTTCAAGACTTCCTTTTTTTAAAAAAAAAAATATGGGGTTTCACCATGATGGCCAGGCTGGTCTTGAACTCCTGACCTCAGGTGATCCACCTACCTCGGCCTCCCAAAGTGCTAGGATTACAGGCCTGAGCCACTGCACCCGGCTATTTCAAGATTTCTAAGGACGAATTTGACTTGCAGTTAGGAAGGAGGACTAATCAAGATCAAAAGACTGAATTAGATTCAGATAGACATCCTATCTGTTACAGATTTGCTTTTGATCTGGGGTCATTTTTTCCTACTTTCCTTCTGGTTTCCTTTGCAGTGTGACAGGGATACTATTTTTCCTCCTCACCAAGATAGCAGAACAGAGAGGAAGAGCTGAGCTTCACAAATAGGTTACATACATGCAAAGCATTTTTTTTTTTTTTTTTTTGAGACGGAGTCTCGCTCTGTCACCCAGACTGGAGTGCAATGGTGTGATCTCAGCACACTACAACCTCCACCTCCTGGGGTCAAACAATTCTCCTGCCTCAGCCTCCCAAGTAGCTGGGATTATAGGCACTCACCACCATGCCTGGCTAATTTTTACATTTTCAGTAGAGACAGAGTTTCAACATGTTGGCCAAGCTGGTCTCAAACTCCTGACCTCAGGTGATCTGCCCAACTCGGCCTCCCAAAGTGCTGGGATTACAGGTGTGAGCCACCATCCCTGGCCAGCACCTTCTTTTATTCTTTAATAAGAGTGCTTTTCCCAAATAGCACCACAGAATGTGAGGTAGAAGGGATCATTAAGTACAAATGTATGCTAAAAAGTAACACCCATCGTTCCTCTTATTACAAAAAGTTATACATGTTCACTGAAGTACTTGTACAAAGGAGAAAAGCAGAAAACAAAAAACATCCACATTCTCACTATCCACATTTAATATCTTTCCGGTCATTTGTGTGTGCATTTTTTACCTAAGTAGGATCAGAGTACATTGGATAGTTTTTTTTGAGACAGAGTCTCACTCTGTCACCCAGGCTGGAGTGCAGTGGTGCAATCTCAGCTCATTGAAACCTCCACCTCCCAGGCTCAAGCAATTCTCATGCCTCAGACTCCAGAATAGCTGAAGCTACAGGTGTGCGCCACCACACCTGGCTCATTTTTGTATTTTTGGTACAGACAAGGTTTCACCATGATGGCCAGGACGGCCTCAAGTGATTCTGGCCTCATGTGATCCACCTGCCTCGGCCTCCCTAATATATAGGATTACAGGTATGAGCCACTGCACCCAGCCCAGAGTACATACAGTTTTGAACCCTACTTTTTTGGTTGACTTAATATATTATGTGGAAGTATGTAATTACTTATCTGTAATACAATTTTTTCCCCACAATGTTATATTTACTGACATATTTCTTTGAAAATACTTAAATGATGAATACCTTTCCTGACAAAATTTTCTATAAATCTCATTTATTTCCCAGAAGTTGAATTGCTGGGTCAGGGTACACATATTTTAAGACTTCTGATGGCAACCAGAAGGGGGCACCAGTTTACATTCCCAGCCGCAGTGCATGAGAGTTTCTGTTTTCCTGGGCTCTTCCTAGATCCAAATCCATATTTTTAAATGAAGAAAACTGAAGCCCAGAGCAGTGGAATGACTCATCCAAGACCACATTATCATCTTGATAAAATGACAAAAAGATTTTGATCATCTTCCAAACAGAAAAGAAATGGCATACCCAGAATCAAGAGCAGCTCCTGAGCCCTTCCAAGAGCAAAGACAGGAATGAGACCCCTGCCTCCTCTGTTTACGATATCATGGACAGTGTTACAGAATCTTGCTTCTCGCTCTTCACGTTTCTCATGGATATGGGTCCCATAAGTAGATTCCTAAATAACACATTAGAAGAGTGAGACTAAGACAGATGATCCCCAAAGAATTCAAAAGTTATACATCAATGAAACGCTGAGGGGCTAAACAATTCACTTCTCAATTAGCATGCTCTTTACTCAAACGTGTGTTGTCATAACAGTCATTGGGAAGAGCAAGCAAGAATGTTAGAATTCAGGCCCGGTACAGTGGCTCACACCTGTAATCTCAGCACTTTGGCAAGCCAACGTGGGCAGATCACCCGAGGTCAGGAGTCCAGCCTAACCAACATGATGAAACCGTGTCTCTACTAAAAATACAAAAATTAGCTAGGGGTGTAGTGGGCACCTGTAATCCCAGTTATTCGACAGGTTGAGGCAGGAGAATCGCTTGAACTTGGGAGGTGGAGGTGGCAGTGAGCTGAGATTACGCCACTGCACTCCAGCCTGAGCAACAGAGCTAGACTCCATTTCAAAAAAAAAAAAAAAAAAAAAGAATGCTAGAATTCAAATCTAAATAAGAAGAACTTTTTAGAAAATGGAATCAGGAAATAGTCCAAAGCTGTATCTTCTTTCCACATCTTTTATTTATTTGTATTTTTACCATTTGCTTTCTATTGGGAAGAAAAAGGTTATTTCTCCCATCTCTGATAAGTCAAAGCTTTTAAAATGAAATAGACATTGTTTCTTTTTTTTTTTTTTGAGACGGAGTTTCACTCTTGTTACCCAGGCTAGAGTGCAATGGCGCAATCTCAGCTCACCGCAACCTCCGCCTCCTGGGTTCAGGCAATTCTCCTGCCTCAGCCTCCTGAGTAGCTGGGATTACAGGCACGTGCCACCATGTCCAGCTAATGTTTTGTATTTTTAGTAGAGATGGGGTTTCACCATGTTGACCAGGATGGTCTCGATCTCTCGACCTCGTGATCCACCCGCCTCGGCCTCCCAAAGTGCTGGGATTACAAGCTTGAGCCACCGCGCCCGGCCAAGATGTTGTTTCTTATACTTCTGTTTAAGAATATCCTTAAAGTCTTACTAGTGTGATTCACTGACCAGAAGCACTGATATCCCTTGGGAGCTTATAAGAAGTGTAAAATCGGGCTGGGCGCGGTGGCTCACGCCTGTAATCTCAGCACTTTGGGAGGCCAAGGCGGGTGGATCACGAGGTCAAGAGATCGAGACCATCCTGGTCAACATGGTGAAACCCCGTCTCTACTAAAAAAATACAAAAAATTAGCTGGGCTTGGTGGCACGTGCCTGTAATCCCAGCTACTCAGGAGGCTGAGGCAGGAGAACTGCCTGAACCCAGGAGGCAGAGGTTGCGGTGAGCCGAGATCGCGCCATTGCACTCCAGCCTGGGTAACAAGAGCAAAACTCCGTCTCAAAAAAAAAAAAAAAAAAAAAAATGAAGTGCAAAATCTCAGACCCCAGCCCAGACTTAATGAATCAGAATTTGTATCTCAGCAATATCACCAGATGATTTATAAGCACATTAAAATATGAAGCACTGCTTTAAAGCATGGTACTATGAAAAGAACTACTTTTTCTGAGGGTTCAGAAAAATCCATCTTCCCTTAAATGAAGGTCAGTTTATATGCTGGGCACAGCATGGGCAGAGCTGAATCTGCTCACATGTTGCTTATGGGCAGCAGTATGTACTGGCCTACATGCCTGGGCAGCTGGGGAATGCAGTAGGTGGTGGAGGAGAAACAGCTTTTCCTCCTTGAACCACATGCACCTGATGTTCTTATACATCCCAAAGGCCTGCAAGAGTTCTCTCCCAACCTAACTCTACAGTCAACAACACACATCCCAAGCTGCCCCAGGAGAGCTTCTGTACACACTCATTTTTCGCTCCCCTGCGACTTGCAATCTAGCAGGCAGACAATGCATTCACAGATGAACAAAACCACAGTGAGCCTGGACTCGGGGCCTGAGGACAGTCACCACGGCAAAGGAGTGAGGTCACACCAGTTCTAAAACGATCCGTAAGATATTCTTCTACAAATTCTCACCTAGAAAAACATATTTTGGATATAGGGAGAGGGCATACCCAGTAAAAAAGCTTCTGCCCAGAAACAGCCTGGTGTCTCTGATATGAGACTAGAGTGAATGCATTTGACAGCAAGAAAGTGAAGCTGCAGTACAAAAAGCACCTGCCCCAGTTTTCTTTTTTTTTTTTTTGAGACTGAGTCTTGCTCTGTAGCCTAGGCTGGAGTGCAATAGCGTGATCTCGGCTCCCTGCAGCCCCCACCTTCCAGGTTCAAGTGATTCTTGTGCCTCAGCCTCCCCAGTACCTGGGACTACAGGCATGCACCACCACACCCAGCTAATTTTTTTTTTTTTTAAGTAGAGACAGGGTTTCATCAGGTTGGCCAAGCTGGTCTCTAACTCCTGGCTTCAAGTGATCCGCCCACCAGTCTCCCAAAGCGTTGGGATTATAGGCGGGAGCCACTGCGCCTGACCACCAATTTTCTTATATTAAAAAAACAAGTTTATATGAAAGTGAGATCACAATATTATTTTCCAAAAGAAAAAAGTCTGCTGCCGGGCGCGGTGGCTCACACCTGTAATCCCAGCACTTTGGGAGGCCGAGGCGGGTGGATCACGAGGTCAAGAGATCAAGACTATCCTGGTCAACATGGTGAAACTCCGTCTCAACTAAAAATACAAAAAATTAGCTGGGCATGGTGGCGCGTGCCTGTAATCCCAGCTACTCAGGAGGCTGAGGCAGGAGAATTGCCTGAACCCAGGAAGTGGAGGTTGTGGTGAGCTGAGATCGCACCATTGCACTCCAGCCTGGGTACCAAGAATGAAACTCAGTCTCAAAAAAAAAAAAAGGCTGCTTACATTACATTAATCACAATATAGTACATTAATACTTACAATGATAAGAATATCAGGCTTAATATTAGGAATTTCAGCTGCCATTAAGTGCCTATCTTCTTGTCTTGAGAAATCACCTGTGTACAAAAGCTGTGGTGGAGGGGGGAGAGCGGGGAAGACAAAGCCAGAAGGTTAGGATTTGGGGAAGGCTTCATTTTGCTAGTGAATAGATCAAACTCATGAAATCTAAAAGTGCAGTTACATTTTTTTAAAAGTCTAAAACTGATGAAATTTCCATGCAGTTCTTGTGTTCAGTAGCTTAGTCAATAAATGGTCCAGTGCTTCGATGATTTCCTCTAATAAACGGGAATAATCTATTCCCAGCATCCTCTCACAAAGATAACGTATATAAAATTAATCCGCTTGGCAAATGCGCTGAGCTTCTTGGAGAAAAAGCACATGCTGATAAGGAAAGGAGTGCACTGAGATACGTGGTCTAAAACTGGAATAAAATCCTAAGAGGGTCTGCATCAAATTCCAAGAGAACTCAAATCTGCATTCCTGGTACTTATTTTTTTGTGCCCTGGAGCAAACAGCAAGAATAAGTAATTTCGTGGTGTATTTTACAATTCAGTGTCTAAAAGTTTCAAATGTATGAACAGCTGTGACAAATTGAGGACAATGTTACACTAGAACGTTGGTTCTCAACTCCGGCTGGCTGCACGTTAGAATCACCTAGAAAACTCAAAAAGGAAAAGGCCAAGCTACACCTCCAGGTTTTGATTAGTTATTTTTCGACAGCTCCCTAAGTGATTCTTATGTGCAGCCAGAGTTCAAAGCTGCTGCTCTAGAGTTTAGAAAGCTAGTAGTCCACCCACGTTTTTAGAAGTTCAAGGATTCCCCAAAGAGCTTTTCAAATTAACCCCTTTCACTCCTGCAGTCCACCTGCTTAGGGGCTTCTCTGTGAATCCTAAGACACCGGCTAGGGGCGAGGGGGATGATATGAACACCCAATGGTGTTTTAATTTCAAATGGATGCAGCCACAGAGATACCTCTTCCCTAACAGTTTCCTAAAGTACACTGAATCCCATGGTGTGAGGGAACTTACTTTTTGACATGTTTTACTCTTTTCTCAGTCTTAAAAAATTTTTTTTCTCTGTCTTGATAAAGTATTGCAATGGAGGTAGGAAGTACATTTAAAAGGAAAAAGTGTCAACTGTATTATTATCTTATGTTTCACTGTTCTGACACTTTGCAAGTCTTAGGGATTTTTTTTAATACTACTTGGTGGCACAAAGCTCTGCACTGATTTCTCTGGGGAGAAAAGCACCGGAGCCAGAGGGTACCTTCACGCCTGCGATCTCGATCATGAACATGGCGGCTCCTAGGACGTGGCCTGCGTGGTAACACCAAAACTTGATTCCTGCAACTTCCTTAACTTCATGAAAGTTGATAGTTTCAATTTTGTCCATGCTTTCTTCCAAATCTGTCTCAGTATACAGCATGTCATCTGCCGATATGTTACTAAATTTTGAAAGATGCCCACAAAAACAATTAAGAGTTAGAGTTTTAAAAAAGCCTTTGAACACAAAGAAATTGTGGATAATATATACATGAAGACATTTCTTAAAAATACACTTTATAAATTATGTAATTTGAAATATTTCAGATATTTTGTGTTTTTACTCTATAGTGTGTATAGCTACAAAACTTTATTTTAAACAAACCACGTAGGAAATTAAGACACTAAGCTCAACGCACTCTCAACTTACGGTAAATTAAGGCAAAATACTCTTTAGGATAGTATTTCTCAAACTTTCTTCCTGCCCCAACACTCCTGAAAGATGTAACACACTCACATACATTGGACCATGGCAGGTATTTCTCACACTGGGATGAGAAAAGATTTTTCTACAAAGTCTAGTACAACCTTTCTCCTGAAAGTTATGTTAATGTACTTATAAAAAAGCAAGAGAGAACAGTGGTTAAGGGCACTGACTGTGGAGCCGGATTGTTTGGGTTCAAATCCTAACTCTGTCTCTTACTGTGACTATTTTAGGCAAATAATTTAATAATTTAACCTTGCTGTGCCTCAGTTTCATCATCCATAAAATGGAATTTATAATAGAACCTACATCATGAGTTGGTATAAAGATTAAATATATTTATTTCCTGGCCAGGCATGCTGGCTCACGCCTGTAATCCCAGCACTTTGGAAGGCCAAGGTGGATGGATCACTTGATGTCAGGAGTTCGAGACCAGCCTGACCAACATGGTGAAACCCCATCTGTTCTAAAAATACAAAAATTAGCTGGGCGTGGTGGCACACACCTGTAGCCTCAGCTGCTCAGGAGGCTGAGGTGGAAGGACTGCTTGAGCCCAGGTGGTTGAGGATGCAGTGAGCTGTGATAGCACCACTGCACTCCAGCATGGAAGACAGAGCAAGACCCTGTGTCTCAAAAAAACCTTAAAGGTCAGGAAGATACTAGAAATACAATAGGTTTCAATGACCTTGCTACTGAATGATTAGATTACTGATATCCTTACACATGAAAAGAGAGCACCTCAGTTTAAAACACAAAATACTGAAGCTATCCAAATGTTCTTTCAGGAAAAAAAAAAAAAAAAAACCACACCCACAAAATGGTCCATATCTGGAACCATATGTACTGCATGGAGCCATTATTAGATGCATAATCTAATCAAGTAATTTACCTGACTTTGACATAATCAGAAAGAAGCCATCTATAAATAGCTTTTGTGGCATGAGTCATAAATGTTCTTCCTTTGAAGCTTGTCTTCTGTAGAAACCAGGGCAGAGCTCCACAATGATCCAAATGGAAACTTAAAAAGAAAGAGGCTGCGTTAATTCTTAAAATTATCCATCAGATACCGTGTAATGAAACTGTTGCTTACAAAACAAGTTCTATACAAACAACTATTTACTGACACTCAGAAAACCAAGAGTTGGTAAATGTAGAAGCAAGAAGTAATGCATACAGTTTCAATATGGAAGAAAGATTTTTAAAGTATCACTTTTAAACAGCAAAAAACTTTATTAGTGGATAATTAGGAAGAATATCCCAAACCTATATAAAATCTATTTAAAAATAGTTTCAAGGCCGGGTGTGGTGGCTCAAGCCTGTAATCCCAGCACTTTGGGAGGCCGAGGCAGGTGGATCACGAGGTCGAGAGATTGAGACCATCCTGGTCAACGTGGTGAAACCCCATCTCTACTAAAATACAAAAAAAAAAAAAAAAAAAAAAAAAAAAAATTAGCTGGGCATGGTAGCGCGTGCCTGTAATCCCACCTACTCAGGAGGCTGAGGCAGGAGAATTGCCTGAACCCAGGAGGCGGAGGTTGCGGTGAGCCGAGATTGCGCCATTGCACTTCAGCCTGGCTAACAAGAGTGAAACTCTGTCTCAAAAAATAAATAAATAAATAAATAAATTTAAAAGAATAAAAATAAAAATAAAAATAGTTTCAATAAAGTTGAAATGGCATTCTTATAGAAGAATGTGACAAGTGACCTCAAGGAGATATCCTGGAAAAGGGCTTCCTTAGTCTCAAGGTTTACAATGACTCAAGATATGTACTATCTCTTTCCCAGGTACTCACTGGACTTACATTTAGAGGTAGGTAAGTTTTTCACAGTAAACTTCTCTAGCCTGTAATGACATTTTGGAGTGTTAGTTTAGACTGAGATGTCTGCAATATGCTTCCTAGCAAAAAACACTCTTTTAGCAAATGAAAATCTCAAAATCTGGTAAAGAAGGATCTTGACAGTAAATGTCCGTGAAAAACAGTATCGTTAATAAAGGAAAAAACTTACTGACTAATTAACAGGAGATCAATCTCAGCTGGGTCAATTAAATCAATATAAGGAAGAGCATCCATTCCTTCTAGGCCAGGGTGGATCCCACAGTCCAGCTGAAAGAGATAGGAAAAGAGATCACAATCTCCTGCACATAAAATTCATTCAGTAAATGGACAATGATTATAGACCCATCACCCATATACTCAAGATGGACTCTGGGCACCAGAACTTGGAACATGATTCTTATTAAATGTGGCAGATATGCCATTAACAGTTCTAACTTCCCAACAAATTTAAAATATAGCTCACATTTAGGGTCACAGGATGCAAAGTACAAAACAGCTTCTTTACAGCTACTTTTGGTAGTCATTCTATTTTTTTTTTTCTTTTTCTTTTTTTTTAAGATGGGGTTTCACCATGATGGCCAGGCTGGTCTTGAACTCCTGACCTCAGGTGATCCACCCACCTCGGCCTCCCAAAGTGTTAGGATTACAGGCGTGAGCCATCGCGCCCCGCCTTGGTAGACATTCTAACAATGAATCAACTCTTTTTCAAAAACTTTGATATCAGAAGACTAAAAGTTAAAAAGTTTATGGATTTACTACTACCAGAACAACTCTTGTGAGAATATAATAATTAGAAATAGGAAACTTACCTGATCAGGATAATTTAACTATTTTAAGGCATTAGGAAACAAATTCTTAAGACTCAGTCATTAAAATTACTTATTTTATATGGCGTTACTACCAAATTAATATGACAGATGAATAAAAAGATGCCTCTGGCTGACATACACATGTTCTTTTCAGATTAGGAGGAGCTGAGAAGAGGAATCAAAGGAATGTGAGACAGAACTGATTTTATAATGAGTAGCTTAGAAACCACCTCCTCTACTCCACCTACCTTTCAGGCTTAGAGAAGCAGAGTAACTTGTCCAAGGCCAGCAGCCCCAACGGGACTCGGGGATCTAACCTCCTACACCAAGGCTTCACCCCCATATGCTGGAGGCGGCTAGAGCTCTGAATATGTTCAGGGTGACTGGGTCCTTGGAATCTTCTACTGGGCGTGGGACAGTTAGGTTGGCTCAACTCTCCAGGAGTGGAAGAGGGAATGTGAAGAAATAATAGTTCAACAGATCTAGCTGACAATTTTACAGTCATGGAATATATCTTCTTAATCAACTTAATGTTTTGTCAAATTACTAAGTGGAAGTGTGTACTAGTTTTTCTCATTAACCCTATGCAGCATAGATTGCATGCACTATAACATTTCTCTGGGAGCTAAAAAGATAATAGTCTACTAGAAAAGACTAACACCCAATTCAGACAGAGCCATACTACTCAACTGAGTACAAAATAGTAATTACCATTATTTTTCTTCCTTTGAACTCGAGAATAATACATGATCTTCCTACTTCTTGCCCAGCTCCACTGTAAACATTCAAGCGGAGAAAAAAAAAGAATTAAAAAAAAATCAAAAGCAGGTCCAATAAACCTACACTTTTTACAACTTACATTATCCCATTTGATGACAGCACCTCACTGTGAAAAATTCCGAGGCATGAGACAGTTCTACAAAATCACAAAGACAGAGAAGAACAGTGTCCACGGGAAAAGATGAAAAGTGGTCGTTGGGAGTCCAGGGATCTTGCAGTTGTTAAAATTGAGAGAAAACGCGGTACAGACCCAAGAAGCCCAAAGCTTTGGGCTTGATTTAAATTCAATCTTCTGAATTTTAGGATTCAATTATGATGTATTTAAAATGTAAACTAGCAGTTATGCAGATTATGTAATAATACTTTTAGAATCAGCACTTAAGTATAAAGCCATAAGCATTTCAACATTGTCATCTTAAGATCATGTGTATTTGCCAAATAGCTTAAATATTTATTCATACTGTGAATTTCAATCCCTTTTTCTTCTACCTTCTGTTACTTCAGCATATTTTATACCAAGTACTTAAATAATTTTTGTTTCTTCTTAAATTAATACTTCCAGCCATAATTTGCAATGGTCAGAAGGCACACTTGAAGTTAAACCTTACCTTCCAAATCCCTCACCTTCTTTGATGCCTTTTCTCAATCACTTTATCTCACAATTCACTCACTCACTCAACATTAAGCAGTTTCTTTTTTCTTTGAGATGGAGTTTCGTTCTTGTTGCCCAGGCTGGAGTGCAATGGTGTGATCTTGGCTCACAGCAACCTCCGCCACCTGGGTTCAAGCGATTCTTCTGCCTTAGCCTCCCGAATAGCTGGGATTACAGGCATGTGCCATCACACCTGGCTAGTTTTGTATTTTTAGTACAGATGGGGTTTCTCCATGTTGGTCAGGCTGGTCTCGAACTCCTGATCTCAGGTGATCTGTCCGCCTCGGCCTCCCAAAGTCCTGGGACTACAGGTGTGAACCACACTGTGTTTGGCCACATTAAGCAGCTTCTATTTGCCAAGCACTGTATTAAGTGCCTAGGACATGGAAATGCCTAATACACGGACCCAGACCTCAAGGAACTCAGTCTACCAGGAGATGGACATGAAATGGATCTATCCCCAAACTGAGATCCTACCTCCAAGCTGGTATTGACCAAGAATATCAAACAACTGCAGACGAGAGCTGCCATAAATTCCTGGCCTTCCACTTTTTAAGTATTTTTTATTTTTAATTATTATGGATATGTGGCCTTCCACTTTAACTGGCCCTCAATGTTGCCTGGCTGTGTTCTGTCTTGTTTCCATAGCAACTATTTTCAAACTTTCTCCCCTTTCCCAAATTTCCCAACCCTCTATCCTCTTCTTCACTTGAAGCATGGGCATCTTCAGCATCAAAAAAATAAGTAGACCATTTGTAAATTTCCCCAACTTCATGTACCAAGAACCTGCCCACACCTGTCTCCTTCCATTTCTCCTCTATAGAGAGACCTCTCTTTCTACGGCGAATCTTCCACCATTCTACTCTGTGTACTTTCTCCCTCCTTCTGAGGAACTGAACACTGCTGTGTCACTGACATTTCCCTCACTGTCTGCTCTTTACCATCCAAATTTAAACATACTACAGCCATGTGCATCCCACGTTAAAATCCTTTGAGTCTAATCTCCTTCAGTTCCCACTTTATTCTTTCCCCACCTGCCTCCTAGGGCAGCGGACCCTCTACCTATACATCCTCACCTTCCACTCGCTCCTCAATTCATCATCCTCTGGCTTTTACCAGTCACCTTTCTGAAACTGTCCTTGCTGCTCAGTAGTCATTTCACTTTTTTTTTTTTTTTTTGAGAGGTAAGGTTCCCCTATGTTGCTCAGTCTGGCCTCCAACCCCTGGGCTCAAGTGATCCTCTTGCCTCAGCCTCCAGAGTAGCTGGAACTATAGGTGTCAGCCTGTCTCGTTCTCTAGGCAGCCTTTGTCACTCCTAGGCAGGAGTGCTTGCTCCTTCCTCAAGCACCTCTCCCTTGGCTTCTTTGACCTGATAGTCTCATCCTGTCTTGCTGGTTTTCCTGTTTCCTTCACATATTCAGCCACCTCTGACTACCCTTTAAATGCTGATATTCCAAGGGTTCTCTCCTTGGCCCACTTTTCAATCTTCATTCTCATCTTTCTTACTCGCTAAGGACTTCCAAGCCTGTATTTGTAACCCAGATTGTTTTTCTGAATTCTAGACCTTTAATATATACACGTGACACTAAGAATCTCTACTAGGATCTCTCCCAGGGACTTCATATTCAGTATGCCAAACTAGTTTTCACCACATGCCCTGTACTTTGTGCACTTTCTTCCTGGAATGCTCTGTCTTCAGATATTGACGTGATTGGCTCCTTTGTATCATTTGGGTCTCAGTTCCAATGTCACCTTCTCAGATACTTTCCCTTGACTATCTCATCTAATTTGCCCTTCACAGCAAGCCACAACCCAGCATCATGTTATCTTAATACTTAAAACTACATGAAGTTATTGTATCTACTCATGGTTTGTTTCAGGCTACTAAATGAAAGCTTTCTAAGAACACAGGCATTGTCTATCGTGTTCACTGCTGTATTGCTATGGCAGCTGACATGCAGTAAATCACAAAAAATACTTACTGAATGAATAAAACTCCTAAATTATGGACCTGGAAATACTATCCTAAATGAAAGATGCCAGAGACAAAAGACCATGTATTATATGGATGCACTTACACAAAATGTCCAGAATAGACAAGTCGATATAGAAGTAGATTAGTGGTTGCTTAGGGCCGGAGAGGTAGTGGGGATTGTCTATGACTGCTAATGAATACAATTTCTTTTGGGAGTGATGAAAATGTTCTGGAATTAGAGAGAGGTGATGGTTGTATAATTCTATGTTAGGGACGACTGAATTATACTCTTTAAATTAGGTGCATGGTATGTAACTTGTATCTCAATAAAGTTGTTACAAAACAACTGAACTCCCAAATTTACAAGTTGCCCCACCTCTTACACTGCTTGAGTGAATAGAACGACCCTTTCTCAGCTGCCAGACCTAGGAATCTGAGTCATAACATCCTCTCTTCCCGGCCTTCCCTCCCAACAATCATCGTTTCAGATACCTCTGATCTGCCACAAAATCCTGGCAATTTCATTTGTGCACTCTCTCACACTCATTTCTTTCCAACCATGGCCACTCACTGCACTCACTATAGGCTCTCATCACTTGGACTTGAATCTTTCAATCACATCTTAGTGGATCCGCTCTACTCAATCCATCCTTTTATTCATCTTCATGTATATTCATGTTGTGCCAACTAATATCTACACTGCTGCTAGGAGTGATTTTCCTAAACCATAATTCCCACAATATCCATGCTTGCTTGATATCCTTTGTTGGTTTCCTTTAACTGACTTGATAAAGGTACAAACTCCTTACTACGTATATAAGGTGCTTTCTAAACTGGGCCTTGACTACCTGTCACCTCATCTGCTAACTCTTCAGCTACAGCCATGAAGGATCTGGTCACAGGTTGTGACCACTCTCGCTTTCTTTTCTTTTTTTTTTTTCTTTGGTTGAGATGGAGTTTCACTCTGGTTGCCCAGGCTGGAGTGCAATGGCGGGATCTCCGCTCATCACAACTTCCAAACCCCAGGTTCAAAGTTTCTCCTGCCACAGCCTCGCAAGTTGCTGGGATTACAGACATGCACCACCATGCACGGCTAATTTTGTATTTTTGGCAGAGACGGGGTTTCTCCATGTTGGTCAGGCTGGTCTCGAATTCCCGACCTCAGGTGATCCACCCGCCTTGGACTCCCAAAGTGCTGGGATTACAGGCATGAGCCACCGTGCCCAGCCCACTCTCACTTCCCCGTGTGCCACTTCCACTGCCTAGAACATCCTGGCCCCCACTCTTTAACTCCTCCTCATTCTTTAGGACTCAGCTCAAGCATCACATTTTTCAGGATGCATGAGGTATCCTTTTCCCCTCAATCTGTCAGAAATCCGTTTTCCATACTTTCAGTGTTCAGTGCAGTGTCTACCTTAGCTCTTAGATTAGCTGTTATTTACAAAGCATCTACTACGATCTTTACTCATCCAAGTTTTCTCTTATTTCCATAAAAGAAAACGGGCTCAGTGAGGTTGCTGTCCTAGTAAGTGGTCAAGCAGATAATGAACTTCAGGTCTAACTCCAAAGTAATGGTCTCCTATTATTCCAAAGTATCTCTCCAATACTTCCCGTTGTGCACTGTAATTCTCTTCAAAAGGGCGAGAGCAATTAACAGGGCCCTCTGTTGCATCTGTATCCCCATGTGTGGTGCTTGACACTTAGTGTTTGCGCATCACAGGAAGAGATGACAGGTGTGAACTACGCAGAAGGAAAGACTCAATCAGGTGCTCAATGAAGCCTTACTGAATGAATGTGTAAAGATACTTTCTACCTTTTGGAAAATGTATATTCATGTTGTGGCAACTAATATCTAACAATAAACACGCTGTGGATTCGAAATGCTCATCTGTAGGGATACGAGTTCTCTACATTTGCATCTCTCCTTCAGCAGCATTCCCGACTGATGAAGGCCATGTCCACTGAAAGGCCACCCTCCTTATGGACAGTCGAGGGCTGAGTTTTTGTCCCTAATGCCCCCTGCACTTTCCCCTCTCCTCTCCAGCTTTACACCTTTCTTATTCTACTAGCGCCTGAGCTGAGAAGATCGAAACTCATAGCAAGTCCCTAATAACTTCCTGGCACATGTCAAGCCCTGGTGTTAAGAAACACGCTTAGTCCTTCCTTGCACCGCTGTAGCCTCATTCAGGTCCTCCTCTCATCCTGCCGGCCATCGGCGTCACCGGCTCCCTCACGGCTTCCCCTGACGCGCAAAGATCCGTGCTAGTGCTAAATGACAACCTTTTTAGCGTGTATGAGAGCGACCGGTGGCCCTGTAAACTTTTTTTTTCCTCCGACTCCAACATACCCTCCCCTGAAACTGATCAACAAGCAAAATCCCGTTCACTCTAGCAGGCCCCTTCCGATCAATGGTCCTCCAACCCCTGGAGCCGGAGAAGCCTGGCCTGCAAGCGCGGACCAAGGGCCGGCTGCCGGGGTAGGTGGGAGCTGGGGCGACGGAGGAGGCCAAAGTCTCCGGTTACCCCTCGTGCCTCTCGCAGCCCGTGGCTTCCTTCCCTCCCTCCCTGGTCCCTTACAGGGGTCGGATCAGCAGCTGGTCGCTCTCCTCAGCAGGAATCGCAGACATCCCAAAAGTGTGAGGGCGAAGTGGGGATGAGGAACAGGTCGCCGGCGTCTTCTTAAATTAGAAGCACAGCCAGGGCCCAATTCAGAGGGAAGAACCCCATCCACCAAGAACACAACTTCCGTCACTCCAGAGCCCGCGGCATTAGACTCCTCCCCTCGACTTCCGGTCGGGGTACGCGGCTCGCGAGGCTTCCCACCACTCGGGGTCCGGGAACCGGGGGCGGGACGTCAGAACTGCGCCTGCGCATAGTTTCGGAGGCGGGGCCCGACGGACGTGGGCAAGAGCGCTGGAAAAGCTGGCGCTGGAGCGAGAACGGGAGTAGCTGCCCGGGCGCCGAAGGTTGCGGCGCTCCAACTCGGACCCCGAAGTCCGCAGCCCGGGGATGGGCTCGCGGCCGCGAGGTGAGCGCCGGGCCCTCGTCCCGCCTGGGGCCGAGCTCGCGGAGGCCTGGCGGGAACACGGCCCCGAGAGCGGCGCAGATTGCAGGGACGGATGGGTGGGGCCGCGGGAAGGGCGGAGGAGAGATGCGGGGCACCGGCTGGGTTCCGGGCGGGGCCGCGCTGTGTGGGCGCGCGGGAGGAGCCTGGACCCGCGGGTCGGTCGTCGGCGTCGTGGACCGCAGCTTCCCGAGCCGCCGTCGGCCCCGAGGGCAGGCAAAGCGGGCAGCGCGGGCCGTTTCCCTGCCTCTTCCTCTGCCCCGCTTCGGCCGCCTCCAGCTGAGCAGGATCGGGGTTGTCTGTCCCCTTCGCTGTCACATCCTCCGCACCCGGCACGTGGCCGGTGCTCCATCACGGTGGCAGACAGGTGCTAAGCAGGCTGGCGTCTGGGAGGAGCTCTGGAGCCGGCTGTCCCTGGGCCCAGAGCTTGGCCCCATCCATCCTTATCCTGGTGACCCTGGGCAGGTCACTGACTCTTCGGGCACTTTGGCATCCTCGTTGGAAAGGGACTGTTACCCTGGAGCCTTGCTGGTCAGTGAGGGTGAGAGGGATCTGTGCACTTAGCACCGTGCCTGACACGTGGTAGGCGCTTGGTACAGGGGAACTGCATTTGGGGTGTCACCTCCCCAGAAAGTTCTCGGCTTCAGTAAGCGCGTCTCTGCCAGATGCTGTGGCTGTGCAGAGAGGAGTCACTGAGCGCCGCCTTTGACCAGGTGCAGCTGGGAGAGGGAGATCAGAGACCACAGCGGATCGTGGCGCTGTGATCAGGGGATACACTCAAGCTGTGGGTCCCTTAGCCCAGCCTAGGGTCCCAGGAAGGCCTGCAGCCTGAAAGGGACCTTGAAAGGTAAGAGGTAGCCAAGTGACTGAAAGGTGAAGGACGTCCCGGGCTCGGCACGTCAGGGGCACGTGGAGCATCGCGCTGAGAACCACGAGCAGCTTTGCCTTGCTGAGATCAGTTAACGGTGCCCAGGTTTTGGAGGATGGAAGTGGAAAGGTGGTTAGGAGCTGGGTCCTGGGGGTCCTGCAGGACCTGGTGTGTCCTGCTGAAGAACGCTGACTTTCTTTGACTTTGGAGAACCAGTGAAAGATTGTCAGCAGGCTAGAGGTATCAGATCTATGTTTGCAAGATATTTTAATCGTTTTGGCTGCAGTGTGGTGGTAGATTTAAAGTGGTAGGGAATCCAGTAGGACAAGGTCCCTTATCCATGAAATATCCTCAGATTTGTGAATTCCTTAAATTGCATGCCAAACTTTGTATGCATTCACACTTTTATGGGGTGAGGATCCATCATATTCATCAGATTCTAAAATGATAGTATATATGCTCATGGTCTATAGTGACATGGGGGGCGCTGGTGGAGAGCTGGCTCAGAGAGCTCTTCAGGTCGGGTCTTCAGTGGGTCTTGGTGCCAGATTGGATGTGGGGTCTGAAGGACAGCAAGGAGTTCATGATTTCCTGGTTTCCCCCAGCAATAACAAAATTTCCTGACAGGCGGAGGAGAGGGGAGGAGAGGGGCAGATCTGGAGGGGAGGATGATGGGTTCAGCTTGAGACATCTTTGCATTTGATGAGCCTGCTGAGCATCCAAGTGCCAATCAGGATCATTGGCCTCATTCTGATGCATGAATAATTTTGAGGCAAGAATGATTTCCTTAAGAACATGCATCAAGATTGCAGCAGGTAGCAAAGACTTTAATAAATGCTGCTTTTCCCTAAGCACCTGGATTGATGATGGGAAGAAAGCCTCAAGGAGTTGCAAAGGCATTGCGTGTCGTGATTTTCCAACCACTTCAGTGTTAAGGGATTTAAGGAGATGCTTCAGGATTCCACTAACAGTGGAATCACATTTTGTTTTTAAACTAAGTTTTGATTTAAATTTTAAATCATATTTAAAATTGTTACCTATATATAAATATCTATTTGTGTATACTTAAGTATAAGATGCTTAAATATGCTATACACCAACATTTTAACATGGTTCTTATGCTGTTAGGTTAATCTAGTTTTGTGCAGACCTTGGAATAAGGCTGTCCTGCCACCTCCCACCGAGAAGAACCTCCCACTGCGCTGGTAAAGTTCTCCTTTGCAACAATCATCCGCAGTAGTCTTCCAAAGCATCTCTCTCTTTTTACTCTTATCCTCTGGAGTTAGTTTCCTACCTGGCAGCCAGGGTCATTGTATAGAAAACAGAAGATACCTGATTGTGTCGCTAAACTGCTTTTTTTTTTTTTTTTTTGAGACGGAGTTTCGCTCTTGTTACCCAGGCTGGAGTGCAATGGCGCGATCTCGGCTCACCGCAACCTCCGCCTCCTGGGTTCAGGCAATTCTCCTGCCTCAGCCTCCTGAGTAACTGGGATTACAGGCACGCGCCACCACGCCCAGCTAATTTTTTGTATTTTTAGTAGAGACGGGGTTTCACCATGTTGACCAGGATGGTCTCGATCTCTTGACCTCGTGATCCACCCGCCTCGGCCTCCCAAAGTGCTGGGATTACAGGCTTGAGCCACCGCGCCCGGCTAAACTGCTTTTTAAAAGCCTCCATGTGGCTGGGCACTTTGGGAGGCTGAGGCCAGCGGATCATGAGGTCACGAGATCAAGACCATCCTGGCCAACATGGCGAAACCCTGTCTCTACTAAAAATAGAAAAATTAGCTGGGTGTAGTGGTGTGTGCCTGCAATCGCAACTACTCGGGAGGCTGAGGCAGGAGAACCGCTTGAACCTGGGAGGTGGAGGTTGCAGTGAGCCAGGATCTTGCCAGTACATTATACCTTGGCAACAGAGCAAGACTTGGTCTCAAAAAAAAAAAAAAAAAAAAGCCTCTATTCCATTCCAGAAGATCACAGCAGATATGCAAAAAATAAAAAGCCTTCAGAGTCTTCCTGTGAAACTCAAAGTCCACTGTTATCACAGCCTGCCTGGCCTTCTGTGGCTCTTTGTCCTGGCCCATTGCTGTCCTCCTGCTCCCATTCTAGCCAGACGGCCTTGACTGTACCCTCGGGCCTCCTCTCTACCTGCATGGCATTGCCTGCCTCCAGGCTATTAATGGCTGCCCTCACTTCATTCAGAAAAAGATCTAGAGCATCTTTCTAAAATACCCACCCCTTCCTTCTAGAAGTCTGTATCTTCTTAACTTGAGTTAGTTTTCCTCATAGCAACTGTTTCCTAATAATAAATGTTATGTTTGTTTTTCTTGTTGGTCTGTCTACTCTGGCTAAGAACAGGCTCCCTGAGGTCAGGGGCTTTCTCTGTTTGGTTCACTGATGTGTCCTTGACATCTGGTAGGTGCTCATGGACTATCTAGGAATGAATGAATAAATCAGATTTTCCTGCTACCCCACAAATAAAGCAAAAATATAGAAATAAATGGAATAATGAGGCTGATTAAAAAGCTTGGGCTCAGGGGTCAGACTTGGGCAAGTGGCCTAAGGTCACCCCCTAGTAAGTGGACGTAGCGTGGGGTCTCTAAATACAGAGCATCTTTGGGTTGCTGCAGGGGCCGGCATTGACTGCCGTGTGAGTCATTTCTTCTTTTTCCTTCATCAGGTACATTGTTCCTCTGAAAAGCATTGTCCAGGTCAGAATGACAGGAATCTCTCTGTGCAGACCGCTGTCTGTGGGACCTTTGAAGACAGTCAAATAGTGTTCAATTCTATAGTAAGCAGATTTTCCTGCTCCCTCTGGAGAATACAGTTTTTGGTAAAAACTGGTGAGGTTATCTTACTCATAAATCTTCTTGAAAGGCAAGTCACAGTTCCCTCAACTATAAAAGGCAAATTATAACCCACCTCTGTGAGCCCCTCGAGGGAGAGCTTAGAGCTCTGCAGAGTGTGGCAGATGGTATGTCCTTAAAAAGCATCAATAGAGCAAATGAATACGTCACAAGGTTATTGTGAGGCTATGACAGTATAATGTCCCGGGAGTTCTGTGAGCTGGGTAGCTTCATGGAGGTTAATTTGCCAAGTATAATATATGCTCTCCTATCCAATTGGCAAGGATGATTCTTACGTTTCCAAGGCATTAATTATTAATTGCAAAAAAAGAAATATGTAACACAGACTCTGGGAAGCAAGGTCGTCTCCTTACCTGCTTTTAGTACAGTGGGGCAGTGAAGTCCTGGCCTCTGGGAATATCTTTATGTCAGCTTTTACTTAAAGGTATTTCAAGACTTCAAGAAAAATGCACATTTCTGAGAGGTGTGTCTGTCTTAGCCCTGCCAAGTATAGAATGTGAAGCTGAGACGGTTACTGATCTCAGTATCGTGGCTGAACATCCAATGTATCACAGCATATTTTGCTAAAATCTTGAATCAATTCAAGAGAAGTAAGACAATTGAAAATTTGAGAACTAGGCGAAATGTCATACTTTTGAGAAAAGTGCTTTTCTCACCTCTATATAGGACAAGAAGGTTTCTGTGTTTTTTGCTTTTTGGGTTAACTTTTTGTAATTTAGTAGGAAAGAATGAAAAAGGAATAGTATACAAGGTAGAAGTTTTTTGTTTTATAGAAAAGGAACACACCTATGGAACTGGAAGGAATAGACGATTTTTATTTCTATTATGCATGAAGTAATTTAATGTTGGATTCCTGATGTAACCAATATCAAAGTTGCTTTTCCTGGCTGGGTGCAGTGGCTCATACCTGTAATCCCAGCACTTTGAGAAGCCAAGGCGGGAGGATCACCTGAGAGCAGGAGTTCGAGACCAGCCTGGCCAACATGGCAAGATCCTGTCTCCACAAAAAATGAAATTAGCTGGGTGTGGTGGCACATGCCTGTAGTCCAAGCTACTCTGGGAGGCACAGGTGGGAGGATCACTTGATCCCAGGAGGTCAACACTGCAGACCACCATGTTTGTGCCACTGCATTTCAGCCTGGGTAAGAGCGAGACTCTATCTCTTAAAAAAAAAAAAAAAGTTGCCTTTCCTGATGTAACTGTAACCAATATTTGTTTTCCAGGGGGTCTTCTCTGGATCGAGCAATGGTGGTGAAAAATGTTTCGCAAAGGCAAAAAACGACACAGTAGTAGCAGTTCCCAAAGTAGTGAAATCAGTACTAAGAGCAAGGTAGGGAAATGGAATTTGGAACAGAAACAGAAGCAGGGAGAGTTTTGTTTCTTCTAGCTGGTGTTGTATGGAGGATACCGACCATGGGCTGATCTCCTGATAATCTTCAGACCTGGTGTGTTTTAACATTTACTTTTTGCACTAGAGGTGCATTCTGTGACTGGTTTAATTTTAACCGTTTTGGTAGGTTTTCTGAAATTCTTAAATCCATTAAACTAGATGGGACATGACCTATGAATGGTCTCATTGAAGTAATCACTGATTTCAAAACATTTTAAATGATAGAAATTGCAGGCATTAAGGGGCTGGACCTCTTGAATTCTAGGGTTTATGGTGTGCATAATGACCTTTACTTAAGAGTGAGATTGGCAGATACCTGTATACCAGAGACTTTGAATGCTGTTGGAAGGTAAGCATGGATTTAATTCATGCAAAACAAACCTTTGAGGAGCTATTTAACTGGCAACTTTTGTCTCAAAGAATAAAGTGATTTCTTGTTGACTGACAGATAATTTATTTTTCAATAAAGAGTATAAACATAGAGCCGGGCACGGTGACTCACACCTGTAATCCCAGCATTTTGGGAGGCTAAGGTGGGTCAGAACCTCAGGTTCTGGAGAGATTTTGAGGTGAGGTCTCACGGGACCTGAGTCACATGGTTTTTGTTTGTTTTTTTTTTGTGATAGTTCACATAACAGTCTACTCTGCCCTGCCAGAGAGCCTCTGAATTCCTGCTGCAGGCCAGATACTAGTCAGAATAATTGCAGAAGCCCTGGACCAGAGACCTAGGATTAGAGAGCTAGTTTTGAGATGGGAGACATTTACTGGATGTGACCTTGGCGAAGTCACCACACATCTCAGTCTCTTTTATTAAGCAGGGATAATGGTCCTTGCCTGGCTTTCTGCACAGGGTTTGTTTTGGGTTCAGAGGAACTAATGTGAAAGCAAGGCATAGATGTTCACAAGAATATTCATAGAAGGCATCTTGTAAGGAGGTGGTGGTAATGGCTTGGATTTAGACAAAGAATATTGCCACCGCATTTATTCAGTGTTATGTCATGGGACAAACGAACAGTTGAGATTATGTGATTTTTTTTTTTAAGTTTGTTACAAAGTTTGTCTTAAGAAAAATCTGTCACAGATGATATGCCTGAATAATTGATGTGATTTTGTGTGTGTCAGCTCAACTCTGATAAATAATTTGAATGGTTTAGAGGACTTCCGAGAAGACAAAGCTGCTTCTGTGTAGGATTTTTGTTTACTTGTTTTTCTGTTTCTCAGTCTGTAGATTCTAGCCTTGGGGGTCTTTCACGATCCAGCACTGTGGCCAGCCTCGACACAGATTCCACCAAAAGCTCAGGTACATAAAAGGGTTAGATCATTTATTGTCTGTTGCTTTTCATTTATGTTCATGTAGTTTTCCTAGGGTAGCACAATGAGCGCTTCAGTATTTGTGGCTTTATTCCTCTCCTTTGCCACTTTTGACGAGTGCAGAAGTGGACCAAGATTTGGTGGGACGTGGGTTGAGGTTATGGTGCGCTTGGTGAAAACCACATAGCCTTTGGAGATTGGCACGGGCACATGGGCAAACTGGAAGTTTCAAAATAGTTTTTTAAGCATTGGGGTGGAAATAAATACATACACCTACTATGTACCCACAAAAATTAAAAAATAAAAGAAATGGGGTGGCAGAAGTTGAATTCTGTTGGACTTAACGTTTATGGGGAATAGGACAAATGTCTTGATGATTAAAGGGCTAAGGAGCCATTCATTTACCCCAGGGAACCCAGAGATTCACCAGCTCACGACCACCACGAACACAAATAATTAAGGGGAGCATCTGTCCCAGACCCTCGCAGATATGTATGCAGTTGCCTTAAATTAGTAGATCCTTAGAAATAGGCCAGGCGTGTGGCACACGCCTGTAATCCCAGCACTCTGGAAGGCTGAGGTGGGTGGATCACCTGAGGTCAGGAGTTCCAGACCAGCCTGGCCAACATGGTGAAACCATCTCTACTAAAAATACAAAAAATTAGCTGGGCGTGGTGACACACACTTGTAATCCCAGCTACTCAGGAGGCTGAGGCAGGAGAATCGCTTGAACCTGGAGGCGGAGGTTGCAGTGAGTCGAGAATCGTACCACTGCACTCCAGCCTGGGCAATGGTGGGAGACTCCATCTCAAAAAAAAAAGAAATCTAACCCAAGCTCCCTAAGTAGCTGGTGACTAACTGGAAATATATTTGTATTGTTGTCTGAATTCCTCTTTCTCCATTCAGGACCCTGTACTAGGGAATCTGTGGCAGAGAATGTTGTGGTGTTAAGTCCATTGCCTTTACTGCCAGATGCTTTTACAATTATTAAAGATGTGAGCATCTTTTTATTACATAACTTAAAAGTAATCATATAGTAGTTCCTTAACCTGGTTGAGATGATAAGTCGTTTGTAGTAATTTTTATATTGGCTAGACTTAGTGGCACACACAGAGTTCTTCAACCATTGCTGTCATGTTAAGAGACTTCCTGCCTGGGGTTCCATCGACATTAAAAAGAAAAACTCTGTGGTCTTTTCTGATTGAATGGTAGAGGAAGAGTGGGCTTCCTGAATGAGGAAAGAAAGCTAACATGGTAGGCCAGGCGCAGTGGCCCATGCCTGTAATTCCAGGGGCTGAGGTGGGAGAATCACTTGAACTCAAGAGTTCAAGACCAGCCTGGGCAAGGAAGTGAAACCCTGTCTCTACAGGGGAAAAAATGGTGAAGAGGGAGAAGGAACCAAAAATAATTATCATTCACCGTAAAGGTAATCATTATGTAGTGACCTTTTCTTTACTGTTTGTTTTGAAGTGAGGATTAATGTTTATTCCTATTGAGACCTTTGAATAATATATTTAGTATACCATGAGTCACTGAGGAAAAGGTTAGTGAAATTTTAAGTTCTACCCCATTACATAAAAATATTTTGTATTATAAAATTTGTAGTTAGTGGTTGTGTTCTAATGACAGTCTGATTTTTATTTGGGAAGGGACTGAGGATACCCTGTAATGCAAATATTTCTTCTGAAGTCTTACAACTTTTCTTTCATCTTTAGGACAAAGCAACAGCAATTCAGATACCTGTGCAGAATTTCGAATAAAATATGTTGGTGCCATTGAAAAACTGAAACTCTCTGAGGGAAAAGGTCTCGAAGGACCCTTGGACCTGATAAATTATATAGATGTTGCTCAGGTAAAAAAAAAAAAGGGCCGGGTGCGGTGGCTCAAGCCTGTAATCCCAGCACTTTGGGAGGCCGAGGCGGGTGGATCACGAGGTCGAGAGATCGAGACCATCCTGGTCAACATGGTGAAACCCCGTCTCTACTAAAAATACAAAAAATCAGCTGGGCATGGTGGCGCGTGCCTGTAATCCCAGCTACTCAGGAGGCTGAGGCAGGAGAATTGCCTGAACCCAGGAGGCGGAGGTTGCGGTGAGCCGAGATCGCGCCATTGCACTCCAGCCTGGGTAACAAGAGTGAAACTCCGTCTCAAAAAAAAAAAAAAAAAATTCATAACTCTCTGGTTATGAGAATCTGGGGAGCCAACTCGTGGCTTTGGGGCAAGGTGCTCACTCTTCGGGTCCCCTGGGTGCCGCTCCCCTTGCTCTGAACCGGAAGCCCTCCTGCCCCAATCACCACTGCAGGTGTGTGTGAGCTCTGAGTGGCAGAGAAGCACTGGCGCTGTGCTGTTCCTTCCTTCAAACACAGTACTTTTTTTTTTTTTTTTTTTTTTGAGATGGAGGTTTGCTCTTGTTGCCTAGGCTGGAGTGCAGTGGTGCAATCTCGGCTCACTGCAACCTCTGCCTCCCGGGTTCAAGCGATTCTCCTGCCTCAGCCTCCTGAGTAGCTGGGATTACAGGCATGTGCCACCATGCCTGGCTAATTTTGTATTTTTAGTAGAGACAGGGTTTCTCCATGTTGGTCTGGCTGGTTTCAAACTCCTGACCTCAGGTGATCCACACGCCTCAGCCTCCTAAAGTGCTGGGATTACAGGTGTGAGCCACCACACCAAGCCCACAGTACTTTTATTAATTTTTTTTTTCTTTTTTTGAGGTGGCGTCTCACTCTGTCACCCAGGCTGGAGTGCAGTGGTGCAATCTCAGCTCACTGCAACCTCTGCCTCCCAGGTTCAAGCAGTTCTCCTGCCTCAGCCTCCTGAGTAGCTGGGACTACAGGCACATGCTGCCACGCCTGGCTAATTTTTTTGTATTTTAGTAGAGACAGGTTGTCCAGGCTGGTGGCAAATTCCTGACCTCAAGTGATCCACCCACCTCAGCTTCCCAAAGTGCTGGGATTACAGGTATGAGCCACCGTGCCCGGCCTATTAATTCTTTTCCATGGGGCTGATCGATCCTATTTAAATGAAGAGCTGATTGCAGTGATTGGTTATATTCCATATGTTCTTGTAAAATAATCTGGCTAAACCTTACATACCACTATCAGACCAGTTCTGTGTCTGAATAATCTAATTCATAATGATGTCAACCAAACATATATGTTTATTCATTCGAGGTTTCCAACAAGAATTGAGGTGAGGTGGGTTTCAAAAAGATTACTTTTTATCTTCTCGATAAAAAGTAATCATCATGAAGGAAAATTAAGAATGAACATTAAGATAAATCAAAAGTATAAGGTATATAAGCATGAAATGTTATAAAATCTGTACCCTTGCCAATGGTGCAAGTAGATGAGCCAAAAGACTTAGTTAATTCAGTAATAAGAAAAAAAAGTAAATTGCCTCTGGAGTTTCTAGAAAATGAAATTACTTTTTTTTTTTTTTTTGAGACAGAGTTTCACTCTTGTTACCCAGGCTGGAGTGCAGTGGCGCAATCTCAGCTCACCGCAACCTCCGCCTCCTGGGTTCAAGCAATTCTTCTGCCTCAGCCTCCTGAGTAGCTGGGATTACAGGCACCCGCCACCATGCCCAGCTAATTTTTTGTATTTTTAGTAGAGACGGGGTTTCACCATGTTGACCAGGATGGTCTCGATCTTTTGACCTCGTGATCCACCCACCTCGGCCTCCCAAAGTGCTGGGATTACAGGCTTGAGCCACCGCACCCGGCCCCGTGAAATTACTTTTTTATGTGCTCATTAACAGAGGGATATTACTGCAATAGAATGATTCTGTCATCTGTTTAGAGTAGTAGTTAATCTTAAGAATGTGTAAACTCTTAAGTCATGGAAAACAAGAACATGAAATAGAACATGGCAGGGCATGGTGGCTCACGTGTGTAATCCCAAGACTTTGGGAGGCAGAGCTGGGAGGAGGGAGGATATCACTTGAACCCAGGAGTTTGAAACCAGCCTGGGAAACAGCAAAACCTTGTTTCTCCAAAAGATTTTTTAAATTGCTGAGCACAGTGGCTCATACCTGTAATCCCAGCACTTTGCGAGGCCGAGGTGGGCAGATCACTTGAGGCCAGGAGATCAAGACTAGCCTGGCCAACATGGTGAAACCCCTCTACCAAAAATACAAAAATTAGCTGGGCGTGGTGGCATGCACCTATAGTCCCAGCTACCTGGGAGGCTAAGGTTCAACACTCGCTTGAACTCAGGAAGCAGAGGTTGCAGTGAGCCAAGATTGCGCCGCTGCACTCCAGCCCTGGGTGATGCAGTGAGACTGTCTCAAACAAAACAAAACAAAATGAAAAACCAGCTTGGACAAGACCCCCATCCCTACAAAACATTTTTAAAAAATCAGCTGGGTGTGGTGTTGCGCACAGGTAGTCTCACATACTCAGAAGGCTGAGGCGGGGGATTCCTTGAGCCAAGGAGGTCAAGGTTGCAGTGAACCATCATTGTACCACTGCACTCCAGCCTGGGTGACAGAATTGAGACTGTCCCCCTCAGAAAAACCAGAAATGAAGTGTCATGTCTTTATGAAAGTAAAGGAAGATACCTATCTGAAGGACAACATCAGTAATCTAAATTGCCAATAAGAGAGAACTCGGCTGGGCATAGTGGCTTATGTCCGTAATCCCAGCACTTTGGGAGGCTGTGGTGGGTGGATCGCTTGAGGTCAGGAGTTCAAGACCAGCGTGGCCAACATGGTGAAACCCCATCTCTACTGAAAATACAAAAACTAGCTGGATGTGCTTGAACCCAGGAGGCAGACATTGCAATGAGCTGAGATCATGCCACTGTACTATAGCCTGGGTGACAGAGTGACACTCTGTCTCAAAAATAATTTTTTAAAAATTAAAATTTTTTTTTTAATGGGGGAAATGTTTCTTCTGCCTCTGTGGAGAGAAACTCTTTCCTGGCTAACGTGTGTACCCCACATTCTTTTTTTTAATGTGTGAATTTGTTTTTAGTGGGAAACAGGACACAGGGTAGGAAATGTCACCGTGGGCCGTAGTACGCCCCGCCTCCCAGAGAATGTCCATTTGCATTCTAATCTTCCTGGGCTGCTTTTTGGAACGTTTTCTTCTTCTTGGAGCTGCTGTTACTGCCGGCAGCCTCTTCAGGTCCCCTGCTGACTGGCTCCTCTTTGGAGAATTTCCTCTCTTTCTTGGAGACGCTTCTGTTGCCTGCCTCTTTGGGGTCATTAACTGTTTCCTCCTTGGGTGATGATTTCTTCCTCTTGGTAAGACTGGTACCCCACATTCTTTAAAGGGTTTGGGCTTGTGATAGCCAGATACTAAAACTGACTAGTCAGACTTAAGACTATAACATAATTTTAATCTTTATCATGTAATTTATTTTTACTTTAAAGCAAGATGGAAAGTTGCCTTTTGTTCCTCCGGAGGAAGAATTTATTATGGGAGTTTCCAAGTATGGCATAAAAGTATCAACATCAGATCAATATGTAAGTAATATAATTTGTTAAGAAAAAAATGTGTTTTGGATAATAGGGATTTCCTGTTTGCAGTGATTGGTTTGTAAACATTCCTGGTGGTCTTAAACCTGACCAATTTCTTAGGGTGAGTAGGGACCTCCTTTCTCTCTTATGTTGCGAGGGTACATGCAACCAGCCCCCCAACCCCCAAAAATGATGGCTCCAAATGCATTTTCAACTAAGGTCAATTAAGAGCAGGTGTCAGCTCGGAAGGTGGGCACAGACACTGGGATGGTCAGTTTAGATCCCTCCACTCCTGTCTTGTAGGATTTAAGTAGGAAGGCATGATCCTGCAGGGCAGTGGCCCAACAACAGCATATGGGAACATCCCTGGAGTGGGAAACCTGTGGATATGCTGTTTAAAGCCTCACTCTGTCTGGGAGGGTGTGTCATAGGACTAACAGTTAAAAGAGTTCTGATCTGCTGGAATCTTTCCTGACTTCTGCAGGATGTTTTGCACAGGCATGCTCTCTACTTAATAATCCGGATGGTGTGTTACGATGATGGTCTGGGGGCAGGAAAAAGTTTACTGGCTCTGAAGACCACAGATGCAAGCAATGAAGAATACAGCCTGTGGGTTTATCAGTGCAACAGCTTGGTGAGACTCTGTTACTTTGTTACTCTGAAACTTTGGGTTCATCAGGTCGCAAAACCCAGGGACTGTTTTTGACGGCTGGAGAAATACAATCCCTTCTAGATGGAGCATCTGGCCTAGGGATAGTTAGCAGAGCCAAGGTCAGCCGGCTGGCCAGACTTAGTGCAGGTTTGTGAACTATTTCTGTTAGGGCCAGTGGCAGCACTCGTGCCTGGATTTAAAGGTTTAAGGCAAACAAAGCAACTGAGGAAAAGTGTATCCTCTAGGGGCTAAAGGTTCCCTCCATTTCTGAATGTTGTTGCCCTCCTAGACTGCATGATCAGCCTTCTCAGGCTGTAGTAGCTGTTTGCTCTTCTCTCAAGGAGGGCAGAAAGGGCCCACGTGCAGGGAAGCTCACAGGATGGGTTCCAGTGACCCAGGCAGGCATGTGTTGTTGACTTTCCAAAACTGTTGATTATAGGCTTAGGAGAGGTCTTAAGAGGGTCAGGTGCAAGCCTCTGCTAGCCAAATTAAGTTCAGGAAGAGATCGATGAATGCTACTCTTACTATATCTTTTCATGTAATGTAGGAACAAGCACAAGCCATTTGCAAGGTTTTATCCACTGCTTTTGACTCTGTATTAACATCTGAGAAACCCTGAATCCTGCCATCAGGTGGAAGTCAACTTCATCTGAAACTTCAGTTGTTTTCAATCTGCAATACTGAACCGTTAGGGAAATAATGAAGTCATCCCTTGCTCTGGATTTTCTGAAGAAAATGCATTGTGTAAAATGCTGATCATTTGTTTATTAAAATGTGTCACATTACACGGTGAGTTAACTCTCCATGAAATCATCTACTTTCTGGGATAAAAAGCCTCATTTGTCTTTTTCTAATTCAAATAAGCTTAACCTAAGTGTCACAGACCCCTAGGCGTCACAGAGGCCCACTGAGGGCCTGAGGAAGACTGATGGCGTGTGCAGTAGCGGCTTCCCAGTGATGTGGTCTCACTGGCATGGACCTCTGTCCGGCAGAGGTGTGGACTGGGGACCTGGATTCATGTTGGTTTGGAACAGTGACATTGCCAACGTAAGACACATAGAGTAGGTTTTCGTAAGTGTCCCAGTCAAGGTGACATGCTGGCAAACCACAGTGCTTCTCTTAGAGTTAACAGAACCTTAAAAGATTACTGCTCATGCTTAAGTAGTATGTAAAGGATCACACGTACAGTGATATGGTACCTTTTTTTTTTAAAAAAAGGGCTGTCAATATACAAAACTTTAAAGATTAAAAACATTAAAAATAAAACCATGTCCATTTAAAAGTATTTTATTTTTTTCCAGTCAAATGACTAGTTAACAAGAGTAAACTTATTAAACATGCTCTAATTATAAATCACTGCATTAAGGACAATGAAAATAATTTTGGTTATACAATATATACAAGTTGTGCTGCAACCAGACCAAAGTAATCAGGTGAATGAACTGAATATCATACATCCCAAAACAGCATCCACCCCTTACCCTTAACAGATCACACAGGAACTATCAGTCTGGGCGCATACTTCTGAGTCGTCATCCCTAGATCTGATGGAGCATGGCATGCAAAATGCCAGAATCCTGCAGCTGAAGTTCATGAAACGTAAACTTTAAATATAAATAGATATCTACAATGCTTTCCTTTCTCTCGGTTGCTTTTTTTTTTTTTTTTTTTTTTTTAAATTTGCAAAGAGCAAATAACTAAGAGGCTATTAGCAGGGCCATTAATATAATTTCTCCTCTGGTAAGATACTATTAGTTACTGCACAATAGCACCAAATTGTAGACTGGAAAAATATTTCCTAGATATTTATGTACCAGTGAACCTGATAAATTAATTTGGGACTAGAGTTCAAATGTTGATATGAATCAACTTTATTCTTTATATAGCTGGCACCAGGCGGTCAAAAGGCTGACTATAAATACAGATGTAGGAGGATTGTTAAAATAGACATAAGTGCACTGTGCAAAATACATCTGTTTACTTTCTTAAATCTATGAAAAAATTAAATGAAGGGTTCAAACAACAGAAATGAACAATTAGTGAAAACAGATGTAGTGCTTAAAAAAAATAAGACTTTAATGACAGATCTAACACATTTTTGCCTGGAACTCTAAAAGGCAAAAAGCGATTGCTATACAACATCGTAAAACATTCCAGTTTGTTCTGTCTTCCTTTATAACAACAACAAAAAGTACAATGCCAAAACAAAACAAAAAACCTCTACACTTAAAGAGTCTTGCATAATAAAGACAGGCTGCTTCAATCAAATGTACCATCGCAACAAATGCAGTCACAGCATTGCTGCCTCACTTTCCAAGCCTATACTCAAATTTATTCCTTTACTTTTGTTCAGAGTCCAAGTGGGTATCATATGCCTATTTATTCGCAGAGTGCCAAAATTTCCAATATTCCTACTCTGAATCTTACCTTCACAATTACTAAATAGAGGTCTGACAGTCAAGTTCATTAAACTAATGAGTTTTGATTTTATAGGATACAACCTAATCCCCCCCCACTACTGCCCCATTTAGCTTAAGAATGATATGATGGCTTTAAATAGTAAAAACTGGGATGTTTGGGAGTATTTTATTATCTGGGATCTATAGATTTCTGATATGTTCTTGATTATAAACAGATGGACAGATTAAATTTCAAGACAGTGTGACTACCATTCCTGTTGGAATATTATATAAATACAAGACACTAAACTGAGTAAACATTCTCATGGGCTAGAAGGGAAGGCAGTGTGGTACACTCAATAGGAAACAGCAAGTGATGTGTTAATTTATTGTGGTCTGCGCCACAGAATTCTATTGTGTACAGTTGCTTTCTGCGTGATTCAGGAAGTTCAAGAAAGCAAATTCCAAAACACCTAAAGCGTATCAACTAATTTAAAAGAACTGTTTTGCAATCCATCATCCTTAGTTTTTAACCAAATTCAGGAAATGCAGTTTTATATAACCTGGAACGGAATGAACTGTAGTTATCCTACGTTGTCATAAACCGTCAGTAGTTTTGTTAAGTATGATTGTTCACAACAGGTTATACACACATGCAGAATATAATGATAGCTGCAATCTCACAAATTAGGGCTAGAAAGTACAATGCTAATGTGTAAATTTCCAAGTTGCTTTTTAAACAAACACTGGGTAGATTTCAAAGGAATATGTGTCTTTAAAGGTGAACTGATGGCATTTTACTGAGAAAGTCCAGGGCTGGGCTATGGACTTCTGAAGCAGCAGTTGACTCCTAAAGTAACTGTGCTAAAGGTCACCAACTCCAGAATCGGGCCAAAGAATGCAGGAAGAATTTATTTCCAATACGCTTAATGCAAACATTTTTAGGTTTAGCTAATTCTGTAGAGGCAGGATCTTAATTATGTATAATAGTTCAAATAACTTTTCAGTTCACCTGTTGGGAAATTCAGTTTTTCCTAATAAATGCATAGCAGTGTTTCACGAAAATGATAAATTATAAAAACAATTACTGATATGTAAAAACTGCCTCTGAGTTTTTAAAACAGAGCAGCGGCATTAGAGAACATGGGCTACCATACAAACAGTTCAAGAAACTGGTTATCTGCAAGAGTTTTGGTACCAATAACGTCACAGGAACGTAACTGTTAATGCTTTTGTTCAGTAGCAATTCAGTCAGCAATAAAGTGCACAAATGACACTGGGAACGCGCCTTTGCGACCGGGATCTCCATCAATGTGGCCAATCTGAAATGGAGAAAAGTGCAGGTTGTTAGTAAAATTCCAAATGTTGGTGCAAACTTTGAAGGGCATTAGAGCATTTGGGGAAAAAAAGGAAGACTGGTTCAGAAGACTCTTCTGCAAGGAACTACTTGGGTAAAACATCCAAACGACTTTTTTCTTTTCCTCCTCACCACATTTCAAGTAGTGCTGGCCTCTCCTGTTTAAGGAACTCTTCCCAGCCATGTCTCAGATGTTCACTCGTGGGGATGGCCGCCACCTGTTCTTGGGAGGCACACAGGTCAGCTGTCTGACCACTACTCCCCACTTGCCTTTTCTGAATGAATGAATGAATGAATGAATGAAGAAATTGAGTGTCACAAGTTTGTGAGTTGCAAAGTCACAGGAAGTGGCAAAGGTAAGTTGGCCCCATTTCAACGAGTCCACCACTTGTGGAAGACTCCACTCTATCCACTGATGTTTGCTCTGGGTAGATACATAAATTATATCAAAGTATGATCTCGAGAGTGCAAATGACATAGGCAAATAAAGGGCTAAAAACACCCAAAATATGAATGGTGGGCATTTTTGTGGAGTGGAGAGGGGGCGCTGTGGTTTGAGCAACTTCTGTTTTCTTTGTATGCCTCTATTTTCCAGTTTTGGAAATGAGCAGGTACTTTGCACATGGCTCAGCCTGTAGGGAGGTTGGCGCCCCATCTGGATTGTGGGTTGGAGGCAACTGTGGGAGCTGGGTGGGCGGGCTCCATGTGCAGGTGGGGCTGGCTGCCGTGTGGATCGTCAGGAGAGGGTAGGTTCAGGTCCTCATGGGCTCTGTGCAGCCCAGCTGGGCACTCTCCTCACTGGAGCCCAGATGCTGTGGCCGCCCCCCTCCCCGAGTCTGCTATAGTGAGGCTGATGGTGGGAACTTCCAATCCACAAACACTATTGACTGACTGACTGATAGACGCAGTCTGGCAGAGACGCAGTCTGGCTGTGTTGCTCAGGCTGGAGTACAGTGGTTCACTGCAACCTCCACCTCATGGGTTCAAATGCGTCTCCTGCCTCAACCTCCCAAGTAGCTGGGATTACAGGTGCCTGCCACCATACCTGGCTAATTTTTTGTATTTTTAGTAGAGAACTATATTGGCCAAGCCGGTCTCAAACTCCTGACCTCCGAAAGTGCTGGGATTACAGGTGTGAGCCACCATGCCCAGTTCACAGACACTTTTACTCTATTAAGGGCAAGCAAAGCCACAGGTAAGACCGATGAACCCAGTCCTGCCAGATGAAGGCAGTGCTGCCTGGCCTGAGAGCTCCCAGCACCTCTGGAGGCTGAAAACCTGCAGTTTCAACACTAGTGGGAGCTCTGCAAGGGAGAGTGATTAAAGATTGTATCAAAACTCCTTGCACTTGACAGAGCAGTTCCCTTGAATCCTGTGAGGTCCCAGCTGAACTGTCCACTTTGAGCTCAGGTGTGGAGCTGTGCCACTTGTGTCTGCTGTGTGGAAGGCTCTGCCTGGGGCTTTCTGTCCGCGCCTCATTCAAGCCAGTTCCCCCATCGCCCTCACTGTGTGCAGCTGCTGCTTAGCGGGTGCTCACCGGATCATCTGCACAGACTGTGTGTGACCTCCCTTTCACAGATGATCTCACTAAAGCTTAAAGATAAAGGCAACCTGGCCCAGGTCCCCAGCCTCTGAGTGGCCAAGTCTGAATTCTTAAGTGGCCGGCACTCATCTTGCTCCCACACCCTGCTGGACACCTGGGCGGCCACAGATCCTTTCAGGACCAGATTCACACCTGGGGCTCTGTGCTCTAGGTCAGCTCTCCCTGACACCTGATTCCACTAATCCAGCAATGGGGGGTGATGACCTAGAAACTCAAGGCCTCAAAAATGAAGAAGTCTCATTTCAGGCCCTCGTGTGTGCTCTGGAAACTGCACCCTAACAGGGGAGGAAGCCACCCTGGGAAATAATCAGGCCTGCTCAGAGTGGGTGTCAGGAAGCAACTCCTGAGGATGCTCAGGGCCAGAGGCACCAGGAACCAGGTCTGGACTGCTCAGGCCGAGAGAGCCTCGCCTGTGAGCGGTTTCTCCAGCCAGGTGGGCAGGGA